TCATAGCTCACAGTAAATGTCCTCATAAGTCTCTCCTGTTTAGGGACGGTTTGGCGCACTATTCCTGTGAAGTGGTGTGATGGGTCAGTCACTAGTTTATCTGGTGGAGTGTAGGCCTACAGTAGGCCTGTGTTTGGTTGTGGCAACACAACCTCCAGAATTTCTCCAGAATAACAATCCCCCATTTCAAACTTCTAAAAAGACAAATACAAATCCCCATGTCGCAACACAACCTCCAGAATTTCTCCAGACTTATGACCCCCCATTTCGAACTTCTAAACAGTCAAATACGAATACTCATGTCGAACCAAATACAACATGTCAAACCGTAGCTCATGGTTTACTAGATGTTAACAGGCTCTCGCATTGCCCCTGGTGGACGAGTACTTGCCATGTTAATACATCGACTTGCCACCAAGTAACTTCCCGTGTAATCCACTGGAGTTTGAGCTGGGTTGTGGATCTGTGCAAACAGCAGTGCCACAAGCTCCAGGTTGATTCTGTGTCAATGTGGCGTTGCACCATTTGTCCTACTTGTCTGTCTTCTCCTTTCGTCTCTGTAGATCTCTGTTAAGCTCCCTCAGCTTTCAGATGAAATGGTATCATCATGAGCCACATGACTTGCATGTGGACCAGAGTGACATTTGACGTATGCGGTAAGAACGAGTGCATCGCCCCTTTGTGTCTTATTCATGTGGTTGAGGCGGGATTATGACTTGATCCAATGAGTTGAACTGGAGAAGAGAGGCTGGGGTCAGATCTGCCTTGAATTAAACCAGTGTTGTAGCAGAAATAATACCATCACCTCCCCCAAGCCCAGTAATACAATTGGAGGAAAGTGTGTGCTTGTGTTGGCCTGCCGGAGCCCCTGATCAAACCCCAGGTCGGTGTCCATTACAGAGAGCAGGGTCTCTGCTGATGGTTCAAACACAGCCCACGGCCCCAGCTTCAAAAGGCTCTGCTCACCGCACCCACTTACAGCCAACGGCGCATGTCAGTTAGTGTGGACCACACTATTCATCAATTATGGCCAGCTCTGGGGCCATCCAGCACCCACAGCCTGTAGTGAGTTGTCATTAGTCCTGAGTTAGGCCCCTCCCCTCTTATAAGTTCTCAAGCACTGGCTTTTGTAGGAGGTGTGGTGTAGAACCACAAACCCTTAAGAACTGTCACACAAACAACTACCCAGCCCTCCCAGCCCTTTATCCCAACTTCTCAAACGTTCACCGCAACACAGATAACTCTTTTTAAAACTCTTTCCAAAGCTGTTGGGAAATTTGGCCTGGACGTGTGTCTTTTTAAGATGGCTCAGTTCTGCCTCCTCCTCCTCCTCCTCCTTATGTAATTGCCTCTTGTCCATCCACACCCCTCTTCCCTCCCGTGGTACCGCTCTCACACACATAAAACATCTCACACTAGGCCCATATACTGTACACTCCTCCTGACAGAGATGCAGACCATCTCCTCTCTCTCTCTCTCTCTCTCTCTCTCTCTCTCTCTCTCAATTCAATTCAAGGGGCTTTATTTGCATGGGAAACACATGTTTACATTGCCAAAGCACGTGAAATAGATAATAAACAAAAGTGAAATAAACAATAAAAAATGAACAGTAAACATTCCAAAAGAATAAATACATTTCAAATGTCATATTATGTCTATATACAGTGTTGTAACGATGTGCAAATAGTTAAAGTAAATAAATAAACATGAATATGGTTTGTATTTACAATGGTGTTTGTTCTTCACTGGTTGCCCTTTTCTTGTGGCAACAGGTCACAAATCTTGCTGCTGTGATTGCACACTGTGGTATTTCACCCAATAAATATGGGAGTTTATCAAAACTGGATTTGTTTTTGAATACTTTGTGGGTCTGTGTAATCTGAGGGAAATATGTGTCTCTAATATGGTCATACATTTGGCAGGAGGTTAGGAAGTGCAGCTCAGTTTCCACCTCATTTTGTGGGCAGTGTGCACATAGCCTGTCTTCTCTTGAGAGCCAGGTCTGCCTACAGCGGCCTTTCTCAATAGCAAGACTATGCTCACTGAGTCTGTACATAGTCAAAGCTTTCCTTAATTTTGGGTCAGTCACAGTGGTCAGGTATTCTGCCGCTGTGTACTCTGTTTATGGCCAAATAGCATTCTAGTTTGCTCTGTTTTTTTGTTAATTCTTTCCAATGTGTCAAGTAATTATCTTTTTGTTTTCTCATGATTTGGTTGGGTCTAATTCTGTTGCTGTCCTGGGGCTCTGTGGGGTCTGTTTGTGTTTGTGAACAGAGCCCCAGGACCAGTTGCTTAGGGGACTCTTCTCCAGGTTCATCTCTCTGTAGGTGATGACTTTGTTATGGAAGGTTTCTCTCTCTCTCTCTCTCTCTCTCTCTCTCTCTCTCTCTCTCTCTCTCTCTCTCTCTCTCGACTCAGATACACAGACATTTTTGGGGATTACTTTTGAGAGGGAAGAAAGAACATAAAAACACTAGACCACACAACAACATCAATCTTCCTAATTCTCTCTGTCTTTATTTCTCTTTCCCTACACTCCCCATCTTCTCTCTCAATCTCCATCTCTGTCCCTCTCCGCTAGCTTCCTCTCCACATCTAGCTCGGGTCCAGGGCAGGCCAGCTATGTGTGAGGGGATGAAAGATTACTCTCATATTGGCTGGCTGCACCAGTCCACTTCCACCCAGTCGTGCTTCTCCCATCCTAAACATCAGTCCAGCTGTTGGTGCATGCGAGGCTGGCTGTGTGTATGTGTGTATCCGTCCACTGGATCGTGCTAGCTCCCCTAACCTCGGCAGATGTATGTGATTGTAGGCCTACAGTGATGTTGGCTGTGGTCTCTTCCTCTTTGTCCTGACACTTATCTTGATTTGCGTGAAAGCATGCGCTAATTGTACTCCTCTAAGGAAATTAGTGATGTCCTTGTTTTCAGTTGTGCATTATAATAAATGTTGTTTATAGCTACAGAATATGTATTGCATGCTTTACCAATCATAGCAATGTCAAATGGTCTGGATAACTGAAATAAACAGATTAATTTGGAAGTTCTATGTTGACTGTCAAAAATGTCAAAAGCCATAATAGTAAATCATGCATCATGTGTTTGGCACGACATATCACCTCATGAAGCAATAAACGGACACTACCATTCAACGTCAACTACTTTAATATTGCCAGCCAGCCATAAACAGCTTCAAACCCCTCAATGCGCCGTTACAATGGACACATCTTTCTTGCATTATTATTTGCTAACTTGGCCGAAGCTTTCATCTTGGCTTTATGAGTTGTTGCACCAACCCACACACGGACAGGGCAAATGTTAGCTCCTCACAGTGCTTCGTAAACAATTGCAGACACACACACGCTCACGCTACAGGGAGGAACATGAAAACAGCACTAATAGGAAAAAGATGAGTGGACTCAGCCTGTGACGGGGAGAACACTTGGTGAGGAGAGAGGAGAGCAGGCAGGCAGGCCGCTGGACCTAACATTTTAGGCCTTGCTCTGTTGGAAGGGGAACAGTATGGGCTGTGATATAATTATTACAGTATGCCTCGCTATATGCAAAGCAAAAATTATATGATGCAAAGTAACAAGCAACCTTGAATTTCCAAGTTGGCATACCACTTGCTACCCACCCAGTAGGCTAACCATCATCAAAAGGCCTTTCTAATATCTAGACACACCATATCACCACATTATTAGCCCATATTTTTAATAAAAGTTTATTTCTACCTTTCTCAAAACGTATTTTTGTAAATTCTGGTTGGCACATGTGTAGTATTTGTTATTTCCTCTGTGAATACATCCAGGGATAAAACAGTCTATTTTTATATGGTCCAGATTAATTTAGCCAACTTCAATTTCCACAATGCCTTTGTAGCCTACTGTATTTTCATTCAGATGTTCTTCTCAACAAACCACAAAGAGACCATGCAGTATTTGATGTGTATTAGAGGGTATACTGTGGTTGTAATCAGTCCTGACCTGTTGATATTTTGAGCATTTTACAGTGAGTGCTGTGTTGGCTAGTAAAGGGAGACGCCTTGTGTGCGGTGGAGGAAAAAGTGTGTCATCCTGTTTATTTTCCTTTGGTTTGCGTGATGATAACAAAAAAAATGTGTGGTGTCCACGAATCACAGCGAACTGCCCCCACTTCAGTGGGGGACCACAAGGTCCTTAGAACAACATTTTTGCTCTGATGGAGAGCTTCAGAAGTTACAGCCCTTGTGTTAATGATGGGTCACTAGTGTTTCAATGAGCTGTATGTTCAGATGTTTGGCGTTGGTTATGCATACAGGCACAAATCAACTCTGCATCCTTTGCCGTCCTGAGGAGGTTTCACCCTCTGAGGACCAACCCTGGGCCACAACTGTCTACACAAGAGATACAGCCTCCCTCTGATTTAGGCCTAACGCCATGGTTGCCTCTACTCACAGTGTCTGCCTATGGAAATCCATCTCACTACATTCCACCCCTCTCTCATCCCTTCTTATTCACTCTATCATCACTCACTCTATCATCACTCACTCTATCATCACTCACTCTATCATCACTCACTCTGTCCTCTCACTGATGCATATCCAATAAGACAGAACAATATTTGGACAGGTGTTCTTTTTTATATGCATTATCTTCATAAGGTCTAGTGGACGGGTGCACCACGTCATTTCATTGCAGTTTCATAAGAAATTAACTGGCAACATACCCTGGTTCACTGTAGACCGCTATACTGTAGTCCGTACTGTACTGTATGTGTAATCCTTAACAATAAAAAACTGTTTAGCACCAATTTTCCTTTACTTTTAAACGTTCTTTTTTCCTGTTTCAGACAACTGTGGAGGCCACATCTGGAAGACAGATGTAATCCCTGAGCATGTTCTCTCTCTCTCTTTCTCTCGCTTGCTCACACATATTCACTCTCTCCTCTTTCTCGCTCTCTCCCCACTCTCTCTTTCTCGTTCCTTTCCTCCCCCTCTTTTTGGGAAACATGAGAGCTGGACTAATTCTCTCTCTCTCCCTCCCACCCCCGGCGGACCACCCACATTCGGAAACGCCTAGCTGTTCCACAGGCAGAGTCTCCGTCAGCTTAGAGAGAGAGAGCGAGGGAGAGAAAGTTAGAGAGAGAGATGTAAAGATGGGTTTTGACTGATGGTTTTAACAGAGTATCAATTACATCAATGTCAAAACCATAACCTGCCCTTGCATAAAGAGAAAAGAGAGAAAGCGTTGAGAGCAGTGCGTCAGTGTTTTCCAAAGTCAGAGGCACTTTCACTTAGGACTCCACACTCATCACCAGAACTCCCTCTACAAGCTCTAGCAATTGTCATCAGCTAACACACACTGATGCAGATGGTCCGTCCATAGTTGAGGTCTCCATTGTCTATCATGTATCGTGAAGATCTTATTTTTAAGTAGCCTATGCTCAACTCCTGATATAGTGCTTTAAAATTTTTGCAAAGACAGTAAATGACAAAATTCAGTCTGAGGGAAATGTGTAATTGTATGCTTTAAAAGTATCAACTGTGTGACATATACAGGACACAACAAATTGCCTTAGAAATTGTATTTTATTTCCTTTAGTTAGCAGTAAGGTATTTGTTTTCAGTTGAGCTCAAATATTTTATGTTCAACTTCAATGTTTTGGTCAATGTCTCCACCAAGTGGATCATGTATGTAACTTCCCCTCTATTTGAAGTCCTTAGTTGGCCCTACCATAAGTTCTACAATACATGGTTTTGAAAATATGACCAGTCAAAATAGGCATGCCAATAGTGAAACAACAAATATATTATAACAAGTATTGTGAGGACTTTACGTTGGTCAAATACAAGCCAATCGCACAATAAAACATAAGTGCAGAGAAATGACAAAGGGAAACTTCACAATGTTTCTACTTAATATTCACAATCTCCAGCACCACCCCAACATCAACATATGTGAAAATGGTGTGTTTCTATGTTTTGTAGTAAGAAAGATAGAGAAAGATACGTTTTTCCAATGACATCAGCGGTGTGCATCGTGTGATTTGGACTAATTATGAGTAGGCATTATCTACTAACTGGTTGATGATGTCATTGGAAAAACGTATCTTTCGCTATCTTCTTTACAACAAAACATAGAAATGCGCCATTTTCACATATGTTGATGTTGGGGTGGTGCTGGAGATGATGAATATGAAGTTGAAAAATTGTGAAATGACCGTTTAAGGTTAATAACTGGAGATATGTATCCCATTGCCATTATTTGTTTTTCTCTGTCTTCAGGGTCTTCCTTCTCCCCACTTCAGTGGCTACTGAGCCCACAGTGGCCCCCAGCATCCGCCCAACGGGCCCACCTACAAACAGGCCAACGAAAGCCCCCAGCAGAGACTCCATCCTCAGCATCTTGGGCAGCCTCCTCAGCCACCCTGTCAACCCCTGCCACAGGGACGAGAGAAAGGAAGGAGAGGGGGAGGCAGGAGAAAGAGAGGTGATACCGTCGGTGTCTATGTTCAAGTTGTGCACACTCCGCTCTGCCTCCTCCCTAACTCTTGCCATCTCTTCATCGTCTAGCTCTTGCTCTGGAGGTGAGGCTGAGGAGGGCACCTCTTCATCAAGCTCCTCTCCCCCTCCACCTCCCTCTCTTCTCTGGCCGCACTATCTCTGCCTGCTTCTCTCTCACCCTGGCCTCAGCCTCCTGGTAGAGGGGGCAGCTGTAGAACTCCACCCCACTCTCGTTTACAGTCTGTTCAACCTTCTCCAGCAGCTCTTCCACACTCTTCCTCTCATCCCTCTCTCCTCTACTCCTCCTCTCCAGAGAGTGATAGCGGTCTCCACACATCACCACCAGCTCCAGTAGGTCTTTGCGTCTGGTGGCGATGTACTCGTCCAGCTGTTGTCCCAGAACCATCTGGTCTGTGTGGGTGAAGAGGACCAGGGTGTGTCCACTGACTGCAGTGGAGCCAAAAACCTTCTCCAGGGACTCCAGGGCCCGCAGCTCCATGTCAGCCGGCCGGTCCACAGGGACACACAGCAGGAAGGCATGAGGCCCTGGGGCCGACAGGGCCACGCAAGAGGAGACATGGTGCCTCACCTCCTCCGGGGGGCGCTCTGAACAGAACCAATCTTGGGCGACTACCACTGATACCTGCACGCAAAAACAGAGTGTGTGAGGTTAGAACCTCTTGTTGACATTTAAGTAATTTGATCAGTGTGTAGGCTACTTTCCTTTTTAAAGAATGAACAAAGTATCTTACCCATCTCCCTGCAATGGTTCCTCTGTGCTTCTCACATTCCTGAGTGACAGCTGGCTCACTGGCAGTCTGGGTAAGGAAAGCCTGGCGGCCCAGTATGGTGTTTCCAGCTGCACTCTGTCCTGCTCTTGTCCGACCCAGCAGAACCAGCCTCAGCTCTGCATTGGGACAAGGCGAGGAGATGGAAGGAGTATTATTAGAAAAGGAGGATTCAGTAGCCTGCACACATCACAAGCTTCTGTCATCCGATCTCTGCTTTCTTTTGTTTCTTTTTTTATTGTTATTTTTCTATTTTATATTTATTGTTATTTATTTTATTTTATTTTTTTATTACTTATTTTTTTTTTTTTTTTTTTTTTTTTGTCATTTAGCAGACGCTCTTATCCAGAGCGACTTACAGTTAGTGAATACATATTTTTTTATACTGGCCCCCCGTTTACATTAGTACTGTTCAATAAGCAATGACATTTGTATCTCTGAAAGTTCTGCCCAAATATATATTGTAACAATGGAGGCATTGTACATATTTTCCTGTGAGACAAAAAAATAAATAATCATAGAATCAACTCAATCAGGAAACCCCCTGGGTGCACGTTTTGTTTTTTGCCCTAGCATTTAACCTTTAACTAGGCAAGTCAGTTAAGAACAAATTCTTATTTACAATGAAGGCCTACCCCGACCAAACCCTCTCCTAACCCGGACGACGCTGGGCCAATTGTGCGCCTCCCTATGGGACTCCCGATCACGGCCGATTGTGATACAGCCCGGGATCGGAACCCGGGTCTGTAGTGACGCCTCTAGCACTCGGGAGAAATAACCATCACATCATCAAGCTTTTATTATTTGAATAATCTGTGTAGTGTTAGGGCAAAAACCCAAAACGTGCCCCAGGACCGAGTTTGTGAAACCCTGGCCTATAAAATGTAGCATACAATGTAAACACGTCTCCTCTAATTCCAAAAGACAGACATACGCTCAAGCGTAATGCGGAGACAGTCTCCCTCACGTTCTAAAAACTGACAGGCCGTAAAGTGCGTTTGTGGAGAGTTAACAGTGCACAAGCGAGTATGAAGCAGTCATAAACAAACGCGAAGTCAAAGCCTACCCTTCCTGAAACCTGCGTGAATAATTGGTAGGCTACATGTACCTGTTTGTGGGGGACCTGATGCCATCTTTTGCTTGTGCGATATTGCCAGATATTATTTCCGTATTTAGTATGCACCCTAGTCAACTTCCTCGTTCCTACGTCCTGACTCACTAGAAGAGGGATCGATCTGTGCCGTGTGCTTCTGCAGTCGTCAGGGCGTAGCCGTACAGTCAATGCTCTTCAAGAAAATCCTGTTTTAGCCTGCTACGTTTTTGTAGGGTATTTTGATGCAGTGACAAAAAAAGTCAAGTAGGCTGACTTCTTCAAATGCCAACTATGCAACAACACTATAATCAATATGTTCAAGGCATACTTGCTCAAACTTCCAAAAATCTAATCTCCCGTGGGCAGATTCTGTGTGTAGACCGAGAATCTGCCAGAACTGAAGGGATGTGCATTATATTGTTATGGGATACAACCGGAGGCACGTGGTACTGCAGGGATCCGCGAAAATATAAATATTTGTATTTAAATGTTTTTATGAATATTGCTAGCAACAACATAATATTAGATTAGATTAGTTTATTAATCACAATGACAGGGTTGCAGATGTAATTGCAGGTTACAGTGAAATTCTTAAGCTCCAACAGTGCAGGTAAAGAAGATACAAAATTACACAGTCTTTGGTATTACACTCACTGGAGTGTCTGACATAGGCCTTGAAATAGCACCTGCAAATAAGCTACCAGTGTGGAAGTGCCGCTGGCTTCTGGTAAGCTTTTTTGATTTGGACATATATGTTTGACAACACATGGCTAACCTTTGTTTAACCAGTTAAACAGCTGCTGTGTTTGGAGTTACCTTTCCAGCTAATAGGCTATACTAGAGTTTACACTTCCTCTTCCAGATTACATGGGGAGGTCAAAATAATGAAAAACGATTTACCAAATCTATTCATTTTAAAATGTTGATTACTTCTCCTTGCCATCATCATTCACCTGATGATAAGACAAGACGTGATATTTTTTGGGGTCTAATGTAGGATGGGGTCCCTGGAACGCCGGTTTGCCTGGGAGGGGGTGCCTGGGCAAGAACAGGTTGAAGACCCGGTGTAATGTCGATACTGATTATTTGTCGCCACCTTCATATATACATAGTCATTGGTCGCCACAAATGGTTTGTTTACGTTTCTACCGTTGTGGCTAGATGGAGTAGGACTACAGCTCCATCTAGTGGTCGAGTCGGGGACTACCGTTGTCAACGTAGCGTTGTAACTGAGCCCTTTTCCTAACGCCTGATCACACCAACAGAGTCCCGCGCAATATGGTACGCAGCATCATCTAGATATGTGTGCAACAAAAGTTCAACATTCACTTTCTGCAACCATTTCTGTCAAGCCGTCTACAGTTTTGACGCATACGTTCGATAAATCCAATGTATGCACCACACAGAATGCACTGCAACTGACTCTTCAACGCAATGCTAAAAGTCAAACGCAGCGTTCCATCGGAAATGAATGTACTTCTGGTGTACCAAAATGCAAAAACACTGTCGGTGTGATTGAGGCGTAATCTTGACCTCACTCTCCTAACCTGCTACATTATTTCACCTAGCCTGCTGCGTTAGTTCTCGTAACCTAACACGTTAATTATCCTAACCAGCTATGTTAGTTAACTTAACCTGCTATGTAAACAAACCATCTGTGGCGACAAATCATCAGTATCACCAAACGTTCTCTCAATTTCTAACACATATGAACACAAAGTTAATCACGCAGCTGACCAAATTACGCTAGATTTTACTTCTGGGTTAACAAATGCCACCAAAAATCCAAAGCACGTCATTAGGGAAGGTTTCGCATTCCTCCCTGGCTGGGGCATAGAGTCATGTGGAAACACAGAAATAGTGTTCTAGTTTTACTGTATTTGTAGAGAAGAGCATATCATCCTCAATCTGACAAGGATCCTGAGATAAATGGTGAGACATTGAGAGTTCTTCAAGAGCACCTGCTGCAGTTCATGTACAATTAACTTTACTCACTTAAAAATAGCAATTTCAGTTGTAGGTATAACTGGCCTTAAAAGGTCAATTAATTTGATACACTACAACGGTTTGCTACAATAAATATAACCCTTATTAATTAATTGGTTTGAGTAGGTGTCAGAACAACAGCTGTAGTTTAAATAAGGTGGTGGTGGTACATACCAGTCATATAAGTCTGCTATGCTTAGTCTGCATGTTGACACTGTCATTTTTATTGTAAACATTTCCATACTGTATACTCAGAGGAAGAAATGTATTAATGAAAATGTGGCTTTGTGCTTCAAAAGCTGCAAATACCACAACAGTAGTTTGATTGCAGTTGCCTGAAAATGTTTCTACCGTATACAAATTTCATTCTACAATCAAAATCTAAACCTTAATACACAGTAAAATAGCATATATACAAAAGAGCAAGTCATTATGTAATTAACTGGTAAAACAAACATGAGCAGTTGTCAAATATATTATTTTCATGGTATGTTGATGGAAGAGGAACAATGGTGGATTTGGGCCCCGGCTTGTCCTTTTGAGTAAAAACTAGCCTCTGGAGATACTGTATACACACAGAAAACACACACGCCCGCACACATTCACAAGAACATACAGTTAAATCTGAAGACACTAACAGACATGCCAGAGGGAAAGATAAGAGTGTTCATTAAAATAGGTTTCAGTAAAAAAAAAAATATATATATAGAAAATTAACAACAAATTTAAAAATACATTTAAAAAAACATGTTGAAACTATTAATGTCCACGTTTTCCAATGCCTTGCGGCATAAATAATAGTCTGCATCCCAAGCCAGGCTTCTATAATGGGCACTCTCACTCCAAACGTTTTACTTCATGGCGAGGACACTCAGTAGATGGGAAAGGAATGTTTCTGTGGTCTTCACAGCCCAGGCATGATGTAGGCAATGTTGTCCAAGGTGTTGGACTGAAAGAGACATAAAAGGAGAGAAATGTTACAGGCTGGCCTTATGCAACACACATGCTGTCACACAAAGTGCTGTCACTACAGCCACATATTTTTACTCTATACAGCCCAAGTGGGACATTAAACCTTTTAGAACAACATTTCTGATAGATGGCAAGGTGTGAGTGATTTACCAAGACATTGCGGGGACACCCGTTGAGCTGGGGGATCTGTGCTGTGAGGCAGGTCAGGGGTCCCAGGGCACACAAGATGGAGTCCAGCAGTACAGAGAGACTGCCTGACACTGCCACCATCCCCTGAGGGAGATGAGAGCAGAGGCAGTTAGTCTAGTGGTCACACACAAATCTTTGTTCAGACTTTACTCATATGAACGTGATAATGAGACATTTCTGTTGTAGGTAAAGAGAGTAAGGTTGGACACAACAGCTGGTCTCGTGTAGCTCAGCTGGTAGAGCATGGCGCTTGCAACGCCAGGGTTGTGAGTTCGATTCCCACGGGGGGCCAGTATGAAAATGTATGTCGCTCTGGATAAGAGCGTCTGCTAAATGACTAAAAAAAACAGCTAAGTTAAAAGATACAGGGAATAGGTAGTTGGTGTGTGTACCTCTGTCTCCTGTAACCGGTGGCCGATGAGGGACAGGGACTCTCCCAATAGCTGCAGGTGGGCGGCCGCGTCAATTGGGTCGACGTCAGGGACCCGTGCTGGTGACAGGGACACACCCACAGACGCCCGGCTGGGGGACACCAGCCCTGCTCCCAGCCCCATGCCCTTCATAGAGCCTGAGACACACAAATACAACACACGCAGTGACCAACTGAACATGAGTGTCCAGTGGACTACTGAGAGAGATAAAGCAGCATAGAGAAGGGACAGGACTACTGATTGACTTGTAATCACTGTCAAAGTTGATAGAGCTGCAAGGCCAATGTGGCTGCAGATGGGCTCTTACCTTTGCTTTTGACTCCATCTGTGGAGCTCTTGCGTTTGACTGTAGTGGCCTCAGCTTTGTTCTGCTTGTGCTGCAGGTACTGAGCTTTCTGCTTCCAAACCTGTGTGTATATAGAAGCAATTTAGGCCATTGACCATGACTCATAGCATAGTGCTGGCGCGCCATTCTTAAATTGATTTCAAATGTTTATCAGAATTATCAATCAAATCTCTTCTTAAATTGATAATTTCAAGTGAAACTTACCAGTTTATCTTTTTCTGGGAGCTGTTTCCACACCTCTGCCAACTTTTTGCTCAGCTCCCCAAACACTGCAAAAACAGTAAAGTCTTTCTCTAGGTTTTGTATAACATATGTACCACAATTATGAATAGTTCCAATGTAATTATAAAAATGGAATAACTCTCCCCACCTAGTCCCGGCTGCTCTGCATTGATGTTGACCCTGTACTCTTTACAGAACACCTGGTACGCTGTTGTGTTCTTCTTCTTGGGCTGAGAGAGAAAGGACAAGCAGGAGATGAGCAGACTACAGTGAGGGGAAAAGTATTTGATCCCCTACTGATTTTGTACGTTTGCCCACTGACAAAGACATGATCAGTTTATAATTTTAATGGTAGGTTTCTTTGAACAGTGAGAGACAGAATAACAACAACAAAATCCAGAAAAACGCATGTAAAAAATGTTATAAATTGATTTGCATTTTAAATGAGGGAAATAAGTATTTGATCCCTCTGCAAAACATTACTTAGTACTTGGTGGCAAAACCCTTGTTGGCAATCACAGAGATCAGACGTTTCTTGTAGTTGGCCACCAAGTTTGCACACATCTCAGGAGGGATTTTGTTCCACTCCTCTTTGCAGATCTTCTCCAAGCTGACGTTTGGCAACTCGAACCTTTAGCTCCCTCCACAGATTTTCTATGGGATTAAGGTCTGGAGACTGGCTAGGCCACTCCAGGACCTTAATGTGCTTCTTCTTGAGCCACTCCTTTGTTGCCTTGGCCATGTGTTTTGGGTCATTGTCATGCTGGAATACCCATCCACGACCCATTTTCAATGCCCTGGCTGAGGGAAGGAGGTTCTCCCCCAAGATTTGACGGTACATGGCCCCGTCCATCGTCCCTTTGATGCGGTGAAGTTGTCCTGTCCCCTTAGCAGAAAAACACCCCCAAAGCATAATGTTTCCACCTCCATGTTTGACGGTGGGGATGGTGTTCTTGGGGTCATAGGCAGCATTCCTCCTCCTCCAAACACGGCGAGTTGAGATGATGCCAAAGAGCTCGATTTTGGCCTCATCTGACCACAACACTTTCACCCAGTTCTCCTCTGAATCATTCAGATGTTCATTGGCAAACTTCAGACGGCCCTGTATATGTGCTTTCTTGAGCAGGGGGACCTTGCGGGGCTGCAGGATTTCAGTCCTTCACAGCGTAGTGTCTTACCAATTGTTTTCTTAGTGACTATGGTCCTAGCTGCCTTGAGATCATTGACAATATCCTCCTGTGTAGTTCTGGGCTGATTCCTCACCGTTCTCATGATCATTGCAACTCCACGAGGTGAGATCTTGCATGGAGCCCCAGGCCGAGGGAGATTGACAGTTATTTTGTGTTTCTTCCATTTGCGAATAATCGCACCAACTGTTGTCACCTTCTCACCAAGCTGCTTGGCGTTGGTCTTGTAGCCCATTCCAACCTTGTGTAGGTCTACAATCTTGTCCCTGACATCCTTGGAGAGCTCTTTGGTCTTGGCCATGGTGGAGAGTTTGGAATCTGATTGATTGATTGCTTCTGCGGACAGGTGTCTTTTATACAGTTAACAAACTGAGATTAGGAGCACTCCCTTTAAGAGTGTGCTCCTAATCTCAGCTCGTTACCTGTATAAAAGACACCTGGGAGCCAGAAATCTTTCTGATTGAGAGGGGGTCAAATACTTATTTCCCTCATTAAAATGCAAATCAATTTATAACATTTTTTACATGCGTTTTTCTGGATTTTGTTGTTGTTATTATGTCTCTCACTGTTCAAATAAACCTACCATTAAAATTATAGACTTATAATTTCTTTGTCAGTGGGCAAACGTACAAAATCAGCAGGGGATCAAATACTTTTTGTCGGAAGTTTATTTTTTAATTTCTTGTTAACAAACTATAGTTTTGGCAAGTTGTTTAGGACATCTACTTTGTGCATGACACAAGTCATTTTTCCAACAATTGTTTGCAGACAGATTATTTCACTTATAATTCACTGCATCACAATTCCAGTGGGTCAGAAGTTTACATACACTAAGTGGACTGTGCCTTTAAACAGCTTGGAAAATTCCAGAAAATTATGTCACGGCTTTAGAAACTTCTGATAGGCTAATTGACATCATTTGAGTCAATTGGAGGTGTACCTGTGGATGTATTTCAAAGCGTACCTTCAAACTCAGTGCCTCTTTGTTTGACATCATGGGAAAATCAAAAGAAATCAGCCAAGACCTCAGAAAAAGAATTGTAGACCTCCACAAGTCTGGTTCATCCTTGGGAGCAATTTCCAAACGCCTGAAGGTACCACATTCATCTGTACAAACAATAGTACGCAAGTATAAACACCATGGGACCACGCAGCCGTCATACCGCTCAGGAAGGAGACGCGTTCTGTCTCCTAGAGATGAATGTACTTAGGTGCGAAAAGTGCAAATCAATCCCAGAACAACAGCAAAGGACCTTGTGAAGATGCTGGAGGAAACAGGTACACAAGTATCTATATCCACAGTAAAACAAGTCCTATTTCGACATAACCTGAAAGGCCGCTCAGCAAGGAAGAAGCCACTACTCCAAAACCGCCATAAAAAGCCAGACTACGGTTTGCAACTGCACATGGGGACAAAGATCGTACTTTTTGGAGAAGTGTCCTCTGGTCTGATGAAACAAAAATAGAACTGTTTGGCCATAACGACTATCTTTTTGTTTGGAGGAAAAAGGGGGTTCTTGCAAGCCGAAGAACACCATCCCAACCGTGAAGCACGGGGGTGGCAGCATCATGCTGTGGGGGTGCTTTGCTGCAGGAGGGACTGGTGCGCTTCACAAAATAGATGGTATCATGAGGAAGGAAAATTATGTGGATATATTGAAGTAACATCTCAAGACATCATTCAGGAAGTTAAAGCTTGGTCGCAAATGGGTCTTCCAAATGGACAACGACCCCAAGCATACTTCCAAAGTTGTGGCAAAATGGCTTAAGGACAACAAAGTCAAGGTACTGGAGTGGCCATCACAAAGCCCTGACCTCAATCCTATAGAAAATGTGTGGGCAGAACTGAAAGAGTGTGTGCAAGCAAGGAGGCCTACAAACCCGACTCAGTTACACCAGCTCTGTCAGGAGGAATGGGCCAAAATTCACCCAACTTATTATTCACCCAACTTGTGGAAGGCTACCCGAAACGTTTGACCCAATTTAAACAATTTAAAGGCAATGCTACCAAATACTAATTGAGTGTATGTGAACTTCTGACCCACTGGGAATGTGATTAAATAAATAAAAGCTTAAATAAATCATTCTCTCTACTATTATTCTGACATTTCACATTCTTAAAATAAAGTGGTGATCCTAACTGACCTAAGACAGGGAATTCTTACTAGGATTAAATGGCAGGAATTGTGAAAAACTGAGTTTAAATGTATTTGGCTAAGGTGTATGTAAACTTCCCACTTCAACTGTGTGTATTATATATATATATACACTGCTCAAAAAAATAAAGGGAACACTTAAACAACACATCCTAGATCTGAATGAATGAAATAATCTTATTAAATACTTTTTTCTTTACATAGTTGAATGTGCTGACAACAAAAGCACACAAAAATTATCAATGGAAATCAAATTTATCAACCCATGGAGGTCTGGATTTGGAGTCACCCTCAAAATTAAAGTGGAAAACCACACTACAGGCTGATCCAACTTTGATGTAATGTCCTTAAAACAAGTCAAAATGAGGCTCAGTAGTGTGTGTGGCCTCCACGTGCCTGTATGACCTCCCTACAACACCTGGGCATGCTCCTGATGAGGTGACGGATGGTCTCCTGAGGGATCTCTTCCCAGACCTGGACTAAAGCATCCGCCAACTCCTGGACAGTCTGTGGTGCAACGTGGTGTTGGTGGATGGAGCAAGACATGATGTCCCAGATGTGCTCAATTGGATTCAGGTCTGGGGAACGGGCGGGCCAGTCCATAGCATCAATGCCTTCCTCTTGCAGGAACTGCTGACACACTCCAGCCACATGAGGTCTAGCATTGTCTTGCATTAGGAGGAACCCAGGGCCAACCGCACCAGCATATGGTCTCACAAGGGGTCTGAGGATCTCATCTCGGTACCTAATGGCAGTCAGGCTACCTCTGGCGAGCACATGGAGGACTGTGCAGCCCCCCAAAGAAATGCCACCCCACACCATGACTGACCCACCGCCAAACCAGTCATGCTGGAGGATGTTGCAGGCAGCAGAACGTTCTCCACGGCGTCTCCAGACTCTGTCACGTCTGTCACATGTGCTCAGTGTGAACCTGCTTTCATCTGTGAAGAGCACAGGGCACCAGTGGCGAATTTGCCAATCTTGGTGTTCTCTGGCAAATGCCAAACGTCCTGCACGGTGTTGGGCTGTAAGCACAACCCCCACCTGTGGACGTCGGGCCCTCATACCACCCTCATGGAGTCTGTTTCTGACCGTTTGAGCAGACACATGCACATTTGTGGCCTGCTGGAGGTCATTTTGCAGGGCTCTGGCAGTGCTCCTCGTGCTCCTCCTTGCACAAAGGCGGAGGTAGCGGTCCTACTGCTGGGTTGTTGCCCTCCTACGGCCTCCTCCACGTCTCCTGATGTACTGGCCTGTCTCCTGGTAGCGCCTCCATGCTCTGGACACTACGCTGACAGACACAGCAAACCTTCTTGCCACAGCTCGCATTGATGTGCCATCCTGGATGAGCTGCACTACCTGAGCCACTTGTGTGGGTTGTAGACTCCGTCTCATGCTACCACTAGAGTGAAAGCACCACCAGCATTCAAAAGTGACCAAAACATCAGACAGGAAGCATAGGAACTGAGAAGTGGTCTGTGGTCACCACCTGCAGAATGACTTCATTATTGGGGGTGTCTTGCTAATTGCCTATAATTTCCACCTGTTGTCTATTCCATTTGCACAACAGCATGTGACATTTATTGTCAATCAGTGTTGCTTCCTAAGTGGACAGTTTGATTTCACAGAAGTGTGATTGACTTGGAGTTACATTGTGTTGTTTAAGTGTTCCCTTTATTTTTTTGAGCAGTGTATATATATATAAATATATAAATAAAAGCATTTTGCTACACCCGCAATAACATCTGCTAAATATGTGTATGTGACCAATAACATTTGATTTGATATATACACTGTACAAAATGCAGGAAACACTGTCTACAAGCCTAAACTACCAATCTGTTTTGGTTCTTACCTTCTCTTTCTCCTGCTTTTCCTTTTCCCTCTCCTCCTTCTTTTTCTTCTTCTCCATCATTGCTACTTCATTACTTTGATGATGGTGAGTAAGGATGGGAGTAGGGATGGGGGCCCCTGTGGCATACATTCCACCAGCTGCAGTGTGATTGGCTGAGCCATGGGTATGGGTGTGGCTTCTCGATGGGTCTCCTGGAGAAAGCATCCAAGGAGCATGTATTAGAATGCATAATGAAAGTAACTGTTCAAGAAACCAATGTTAAACATCTTTCTGCAATAGGACTAAGGCAGACTAGAGGCAGCGTTCCAAAAGTTTCTCATCACCTCCTGATCCTTTGCTGTGCTTCTTCTCTCTCCCGCCTTTGTCTTTCTCCCTGTCCTTCTCTTTCTCCTTTTTCTTCTTGCTTTTCTTGCTCTTCTTCTTTTTTTTTGACAGATGCTTGTACGAGTCGTCTATCACCAGCTCTCCTGCCTCCAGTTCGCCCCCTGAGGAGGAGCTGTCTCCCCCCATACCCCCGCCGTAGTGCCCTGACACACAAGAGAGAGAGGACATAGGGTTCATGCAGGAATCAATACAAATACAGGATAAGTGGTTAAGTACACATGCAAATTTGTGTTTCTAATCATGTCTCATAGTGATAAATCTATGCCTAATGTTGCCAAAGGCACTCTTACCCTCCACCTCCACTTCTTTACCCACAACAGGCAGTGGATCTCGGCTCTGCTGCATCTTCTTGGGGACTTTAGAGAGCTGCTTCCGGTCTCTGTCCTTCTCCTTTTTTATCCCTCCTTTTGAGGATGAGGAGGAGTGGGGAGGGAAGGGGAAGCCCTCTCCTTCGGCCTTCTCCTTAGGCGAGAGCATGAGCTTCATCCTCAGCCCATCCGGCTCGCGTAGGTTCAGGAGATCTCCTTTAGGGGAACTGGTACCGCCATGGAACAGAGACGACGACTTGGAGGAGGAGGAGTGCTTTTTGGAAGAGGAGGATGAGGACATAGGGCGGGAATGAGAGGAGTGGCAGCCTTTGCTTCCTCCGGTGCTCCCATCACGTTTGCGGTCTTTGGAGGAGTGGGAGGAAGAGAAGGAGGGGTAGGAGGGCTTCTTGTGCAGGTGTGGGCTCGGGTCTGAGCCGGTGGCCATAGGGGAGGTGATGGCCTGTAGGAGCCCCATGGCTGTGTCTGTGGGATGGGAGGAAGACGAGGAGGACAGGGAAGGGGAGTGGTCCGACGACTTTCGCTTCTTCTTGTGGGGAGGTGCGCCTGAGCCTTGCTGGTCTGGTAAAGAACATAATGAAGGGAGAGTGAGAACAGTAATGAATCTGTTCAGCGTAAAATTCACACAAATAATTCAATATTTTTTATTGACAGAGCAGAATTCCTTCCTCCCTTACCTCTATAATAGTAGTCTTCACTGTGCTTTTTCTTCTTCTTGTGGGAGTCCCCTCCCAATAAGAAAAGTTCAGAGTCCTAAACAGAAAAATACAGGATTTTACTAAATTTACAACCAACAGAAACTACATGGCACTACATTTTGAAGCCAGTGTTCTGGTGTTACCTTGGGCCGTTTCTTGGAGGACTTGCGGACCTGCGCAGCAATCTCCTCCTCCTCTCTGAGCAAGTCCTTGTATGATCTCCTCTTCTCTCTCTGACTGCGACCAGCCACAAGGCCCACTTCCCCTTCCATCCCTACCTCTGAGAAAGAGATAGTTGTAATGCACAATGGGAACTTCAGGCATTGCATGACAATTGGAATGATGATGATGACTTTTAATAACTAAATTATTGACAAATTTCTTCAAAAGAACATAAGAGGCACAAGAGGAAAGAACTGGCACAAATTACCAACTACTCCTTTCTTCTTGATCTCCTCAAAAGCCATGATCTCTCTTTTCTTCTCAACCCGCTTGCTCGTCTCTCTGTGTCAGGGTGTCACTAACATTAGGAAGATATTAGAACACAGTCATAAGGATATGGAGGAAACATCAGCCACTGACTCAGCCAATATAACACGGACATGTGACTGAGAGCAGTTTCACTGCAAAATACAGGATATTTACATTTCACTGTGAATGAAAGGATGTCATAAATAAGAGACTGAGACAACAATAAAGAAGTATTTGTACACCAAATTGATCAAACTGAGTAAGCCCCGTCAAAAAGCAAGAACTGCCTTGTTACAACCCGCCACCACATATGGGTGATGAGATGGGACATTCAATTGCTGTAATTGCCGTCTCTCCTTAAAGTTTGGATAACGGTCTACACTGATAAATGGCATGCTTGAGCCTATAGTAATAATAGATACATTACAAAACTGAAGTGTGTTTAGGTAATTGAAGGATAAATTCCCGCCTACTTTCGAAAAAATACACAAACACACCCCCTTTCATTAGCTGAGAGTCCCTAACTCCCAACATTTGAAACCCCTTCTAACTCGTATTGCTGATTATGTGCTGGGTTATCCGGAAGGTACTGCAATAGCAGTCCGTGGCTTCTGGTGCAGCTAGGCCTATGTCGGTCTAAATCGAGAAAGAAAGTCATTTCCAAGCATTTGGTTCATAAATTATTTTTTAGCATACTGAGGTGAGAACATGTGCATTTTACTGTCGCAAAGAGAGAAGAAATGTACAATTATATGTAATTTTACTACCTCTCCGGATTCACCAATTTACGCGGTTCCAGTCGCCATCTTTGATACCAGTCAACAACGACGCATGTCGGCAGGGGGAGGGACTTGACTGGGATGTAGCGAATCAGAACAATTAAATTGTGTACGTTATTGTAGTGCACAATGCCAATTGCGGGAAATATACATTGCTTCTATTAATTTGAAGATATTGTAATGTAACCAATATGTAACAATTATTTTCCATTTACTAATTCTATGAATGAGATAATGACAACTGCATTAACTGACAATGCATATTGATGTTACACCAAGTCTACAAAGACACCCTCTTTTTCTTATAAACATATTTTATTCATCCATTAACTCAGATTGTTACAACAATGACCATGATTCATTTTTTACAGTAAACATTAATGTACAACACATGCAAGGCAACATTTAAAAAAGGCAGTGACACAAATATGATGTTGAGAGGGAGACCAACACAACAGTCAAAGGTAATGAGTTCATAAATATATTTTTTATGTACTTTATCACAGTAGTATGCCCATTACCCCCGTGGTAAACAGGAGAATGTATCCACAAAGACAGCCCCCTCTACCTATCCCCCAAATTCTGCTTCTGTAGACTGAGTGACGTGAAGCTGGCCAGCAAGTCAGTTACCTCATCAACCTGAAACAGAAGAGAAGCCATAATTGTCACCTGTGAAGGCTCATTCATGCTTGTACCAAGTAATAAGAATGATATCAGTTGGTTGTGTTACCATTTGGTTCAATGCCAAAAAACAGGTGTGTGTGTGTGAGAGAGAGCGAGTTAAACACAAATGTGTCTTACCTGTTCTTTGGTGCGTGTGTGCTGCAGCTGTGATGAGATATGGTCCAGTCTCTCTCTGGCCTCACTCTGTCCCATCACATTCAGGTACTCCCTCAGCATCTGAATGATCTACAGAGCCATGGAGAGAGAGAATTTCAGACTGCACCAAATAAACGTTGGTATACTAATGTTTACATAGTGCTGTTGTTATAACCCCTTATTACCTGTGTGACCTCCCCTCTTAGAGTTTCTATACTCCTCGAGTCTCCTTCCTGCAGGATGTTGAGTTTGGAGTGTGCCAGGTGCAGGGGGGTCCTTCCTGCTCGGTCTAGGGCATCCACACGTGCTCCTGAACAGAAACACAACATTAACAAGTTACCCTCAGCTGGTGTACAGTATGTATGTCCATGTGTGTTCATACATACAGTATGGCTTCTCACCTCCTCTCAGCAATGTGGTGATTACAGGCACATGGTTGGTACAGGCCGCTGCAGAGACAGGTGCAGAAGTGGAAAGATTGTGGAATATATACATTTTTCAGTCATGGAAAAGTAAAATCAAAATACATTTTTCATCTTTTACTTTTCTGCCATCGGGACCTAAAGTAGCAATGTTGTACACCACTGAACTAAATGCTATACTTTCTGTGCCATGTATTGTTCTTACCCAGATGGAGAGGGGTGTTCCCAAGGCCATCCCGCTGGTTAGGGTCAGCACCGTAGCTCAGAAGAAGTTGCACTGCAAAGCCAGAAAGAAGGGGACGAGTTAATAATTTGTTCACAGTAATGCTGATGTGATTATTATCAGTTCATAACAATGTCATTACTCTGTTGAGTAATGAATCATGAGTCCCTTGCACTTCTCACTTTGACTTACCGATGCTCTCGTTGCCGTTACAGGAGGAGAAGTGGAGGGCTGTTCTTCCTTTGTCATCTGCTGCACAAGGGTCTATATCTTCTTGAAGAAGCCTGCGCACTGGATAAAAAAAGAGACAGAAACTTTAAACACCTGAAAGGGATGCCATATATTACTTAGTCTTGTTGAGACTTACAATAGAGATGTTCCAATAGTTCTCTTCAGTGCCTACCTGTATCAATGTCGTTGCCATTGGCAGCCTCTCGAAACCTCTTCACCACTAGAGAGAATGAACAAACATGCCAAAGTTCAGGTAAACAACAGGTATAATGCTAAGCTCTATGCGTTGAGTGTGGAAATGCCTATCACCGTCTGATGTATTAGGCTAGTATAATGCATACTGATGATACTGTTATCAAAGTTCAGGAGCCATAGCCTTGCATGACATCCCAGTCCCACCGCAACATTCAGACAGCTTTACACTATTTACACCTCATGATTGGGTTTGGAATTCACAGTCAACTCTTCCATCAACACAAAAACATTTTCCAATTTTGAGTGTGTGGAATTTCTGTACCATAAATATATTTTCCAATGGGCCCCACATTTCGCCGGGCTCTCCCTTGTCGCCTCGCTCTACACCCTGTCACCTTCCCGGGTTTGCTGCTCGCGCCACCCGCCCCTAATCCAACTCGACTGGGTTCCCATAGCAAGTGGAGGTACCGAAGTTCTTGCTCAGCGGTCTGTCCTGTACGACTCAATCTCACCGTGCCCTCCCCGAATCCAGTTATCCCAAATCCCTCAGCAGCACCTCCATCCATCCTCTCATCATTTCTCTTTAGTTCACCCTCTTTCTCCTCCGTTTCTCTTGATCCAGTCTCCACCGTGTGTTCACCCTCGGAGCTTGAACGTTCATCGTCAGAAGCTGTTGCAACAATTGGACTCCACCCGTCCATGTTCACCGACTCATATGGAAGATTTATTTAGCCGTTCTCTCTTCAAATTGATCCTCGTTCGCAAGCCAGTACTAGGAGCTACGAAAATAGTAATTTATGTTGATGAACTGACTTAGAACTTTGAATACGTCGTTTATTTCCTCCGTTGCCATCGCTGGCACTAGGACATCAATACAGAAACTATTCTACACACATTTACCATTGTGGCTCATATGTTCATGCCTTGAATTCAATATGAGCGCCTGTCACAAGAGCCAAAATGTCTCCTGTTTCATATTTTCAATTCTCACGGAGAACAAGCAGTAAAAGGCGCTCCTATTGTACAGAGGAAAGTTGAGAAGGACTATGACCAATCAGAGTCAACGTTGTTTTTTTCCACTCGAAAAACAAAGCACCCCACTCCCGTGCAAAAGCCAATGAGCAATCGGGACAGGCGGGATGTGTGCTTGCAGTATTGAATATCGCGTTAGTTCTATGTGAGATTTTACGCTCAAGAAATCTTGAAAACAGATACGATTTAGAGTGAAGAAATTCAAGAAATATTCTTTGCCCATACGCTGTATACTACAAAAACATGTAAACATCAGAGCATTATGTTCTCTCTCTTTAATGTCTTACATCTGTTGCAACAGAAAATAAAGTAAGCAGATAAATAACAGTAGTAGGCCTACACAAACAGTATAAAAAATAAATAATGCATAATGCATAGATCACCATGTAATGAAAACCCAACATCACCCATACTGTTTGTACACATTCAAATCTAAAGTTACATCATATAAAACATGCCACAATTTAGTGTAATATATAAATATGCTTTAAGGACTAAAATAGGATAAGCGGTCAACTCTCAGAGGAGTCAGGATAGTTGTTCAACCAAAATATTTGGTATATACAGTACCAGTCAAAAGTTTGGCCACACCTACTCATTCAAGGGTTTTTCTTTATTTTTACTATTTTCTACATTGTAGAATAATAGTGAAGACATCAAAATGATGAAATAACACATATGGAATCATGTAGTAACCAAAAAAGTGTTAAACAAATCAAAATATATTTTATATGTGAGATTCTTCAAAGTAGCCACCCTTTGCCTTGATGACAGCTTTGTACACTCTTGGCATTTTCTCAACCAGCTTCATGAGGTAGTCACCTGGAATGCATTTCAATTAACAGGTGTGCCTTGTTAAAAGTTAATTTGTGGAATTTCTTTCCTTCTTAATGCGTTTGAGCCAATCAGTTGTGTTGTGACAAGGTAGGGGTGGTATACAGAAGATAGCCCTATTTGGTAAAAGACCAAGTACATATTATTTATATTATGTCAAGAACAGCTCAAATAAGCGAAGAGTCCATCATTAGTTTAAGACATGAAGGTCAGTCAATACGGAACACTTCAAGAACTTTGAAAAGTTACTTCAAGTGCAGTCGCAAAAACCATCAAGCGCTATGATGAAACTGGCTCTCATGAGGACCGCCACAGAAAAGGAAGACCCAGAGTTACCTCTGCTGCAGAGGATACGTTCATTAGAGTTAACTGCACCTCAGATTGCAGCCCAAATAAATGCTTCAGAGTTCAAGTAACAGACACATCTCAACATCAACTGTTCAGAGGAGACTACGTGAATCAGGCCTTCATGGTCGAATTGCTGCAAAGAAACCACTACTAAAGGACACCAATAATAAGAAGAAACTTGCTTGGGCCAACAAACACAAGCAATGGACATTAGACCGGTGGAAATCTGTCCTTTGGTCTAATGAGTCCAAATGTGAGATTTTTGGTTCCAACCACCGTGTCTTTTTGAGACGCAGAGTAGGTGAACGGACGATCTCTGCATGTGTGGTTCCCACCCTGAAGCATGGAAGAGGTGTGATGGTGTGGGGGTGCTTTGCTGGTGACACTGTCAGTGATTTATTTAGAATTCAAGGCGCACATAACCAGCATGGCTACCACAGCATTCTGCAGCGTTACGTCATCCCATCTGGTTTGCGCTTAGTGGGACTATCATGTTTTTCAACAGGACAATGACCCCAAACACACCTCCAGGCTGTGTAAGGGCTATTTGACCAAGAAGGAGAGTGATGGAGTGCTGCATCAGATGACCTGGCCTCCACAATCACCCGACCTCAACCCAATTGAGATGGTTTGGGATGAGTTGGACCGCAGAGTGAAGGTAAAGCAGCCAACAAGTTCTCAGCATATGTGGGAACTCCTTCAAGACTGTTGGAAAAGCATTCCTCATCAAGCTGGTTGAGAGAATGCCAAGTGTGCAAAGCTGTCATCAAGGCAAAGGGTGGCTACTTTGAAGAATATAAAATAACATATTTTCATTTGTTTAACACTTTTGGTTACTACATGATTCCATATGTGTTATTTCATAGTTTTGATGTCTTCACTATTATTCTACAATGTAGAAAATAGTAAAAATAAAGAAAAACCCTTGAATGAGTAGGTGTGTCCAAACTTTTGAGTGTACAAAACATTCAGAACACCTGCTCTTTCCATGACAGACTGACTAGGTGAATCCAGGTGAAAGCTATGATTCCTTATTGGTGTCACTTGTTAAACCCACTTTAAATCAGTGTAGATGAAGAGTCATATTAAATAAGGATTTTTAAGCCTTGAGACAATTGAGACATGGTCATGGATTGTGTGTGTGCCATTCAGAGGGTGAATGGGAAAGATAAAATATTTAAGTGCCTTTGAGCGGGGTATGGTAGTAGGTGCCAGGCGCACCAGTTTGTGTTAAGAACTGCAACACTGCTGGGTTTTCCACACTCAACAGTTTCCTGTGTGTATCATGAACAGTCCACCACCCAAAGGACATCCAGCCAACTTGACACAACTGTTGTAAGCATTGGAGTCAACATGGGCCAGCATCCCTGTGGAATGCTTTCGAGACCTTGTAGAGTCCATGCCCTGACAAATTGAGGCTGTTCTGATGGCAAAAGGGGGAGGGGGGGTGCAACTGAATATTAGGAAGGTGTTCTTAATGTTTTGTACACTCAGTGTATATACTGTATATATTAATGGGATATTATAATGAGAGGTAGAGAATGTCTTGGGACATCAAAACTGTCATTTGCTTAGTTTGGGGATCCTTGGGTAAACAATCAGAAGTCGAGGTTCATTGCAGAGGACACTGAGGCTCCAGCTCGGGTAAGGTAATCAGGGAACGATGGGTCTGTGTCTAGGGATGCAGAGTCCTGTTCTGTAGGCATTAGCCCAGCTTCATGGGCATGCTGCCTTAGCTGACTATTACTAACAACCCCATGCTTCCTCAGGTATCCCTGACGACAAAACAGGGGTGGCTTTCGATTGGTAAGGGAAAAGCGGAAACATGACTCTGTGGGGAAAAGAAACAAGGTCAATTTTACACATTGTAAAACAGTAATCATCAAGTAATAAAATGTCTCAACTGAGTGGGCAGAACCGTAATAAAACAGTAATAACACAGATCATGTATGAAAGTATGTTTCAAGCGAACAAACAAATCGTGTGTGATACAAATAGATGAGTAGGAGGTACTGTATATGGAAATATAAAGGACATATCCTAAGGGCATGTTGTAATGAGGGATCAGGAGAGGACATGCTCTACCTGCATAGAAGGCCCTGAGGTCAGTGTGGAGACAATGTTCCAGGAAGCGCCGCAGTGGCTGGCTGTGGGAGATGGGCCCATCCCACTCAGTCAAGAAGTCCTCGATCATGTGATGCACTGCTTTGGGTCGTGGCAGTGGCCAGCCAACAGGACGGTGTCTCATGTCCCTCTCTGTTTAGGGTGGCAGACAAATGTAAGAATAACATGGATTATATTTTTACATACATATGTAGGTTTGAGTGCTGACGTCATACCACAAAGATGCCTTGTGCTACACACAGACATACTCTTCATTTGAATGTCATTACTTCAACACAACCATAAAGCCAAACTGTTTTGTCCTCTTCATAAGGTTTATAACATTCTCACACTCACCCGTAGGAAGTGTGTCGTAGTAGTATAGAACAGGGTGGAGGAAGTTGGACCTCCAGGCACGGGTCCACTCTGACTCTGCTCTGCCAGGGCCCAGTGAGTCTGTGCGGTTCATCCCGTACTGCAGGACCAGAACCAGCAGACCATGCTTGGAGAGCTGGTGGCCAGACAGAGATGAGAACTGGGGCAGGGCCTGGAGGGGAAACTCCTCCAGATACTCACAGTGAGAGCTGACGGGAAAGGAAAGGAGTAGATTATTCAAGTTAAACTGGTTCGCAAATTGACAAATTTAGGCTGCGTATACATAGGCATCACAATTCTGACCTTTTTTACACTAATTGGTCTTTTTACCAATCACATCAGATCTTTTCACATCAGATCTTTTTCAGAGCTGCTCGGATTGGTCAAAATACAGATGAGTGAAAAACATATCAGAATTGGGCTGCCTGTGTAAACGCAGCCTTAATTAACATAAATCGGGATATCTATAGGCAATCAATCAATGTGAGATTCATTGGTAGAGATTACAATGAAGGACAATAATCATGAAGACAAATGTGCACAGTGGTTCAGCACTACTTACCCTCTTAGTAAAATGATGTCTCCAAGTACCCCAAACATTTGGTACAGTCCGGAGGCCTCATTGACCCTCCTCAACAGCCAGGACTGCAGCTGACTGATTGACAGTTTGGTTGCTGGCCACGAGTTGCTATGGTAACGCAGCTCAAGGACTCTATGTACAGCACGCACTAGGGTGGAACACAAAGTTAGAACCATAAATAGTCAAATAAACATTTTGTCTATATAAACATTATATTATAGACAAAATTGCCCCTTTACAGACAGTTACTAACTATACAGAAGTCAGATTTACTCTTGTCTGCGTTGTAATACCAGCAGTTTGAATGGTTACCTGTGTATCGGAAGCCATGAACGAACCCCCCTGCAGAAGAGCGATAGTCTCTTGAGTGGGCAGCCGTCCCCAGAACAAAAAGGCCTGGGGTTCCCCGCCCCTCGTACCAGGCTGTCACCCCTGGCAACCGCCCCCTGGCACCCTCACTGCTTGGTGGGCGGGCAGAGCTGGAGAGATTAACGGTATCATTAGGACAGACTGACATTATCTGACTGAAACATGGCTTTTCCAATGAAAATTATAAAATAGAAGAGCCACCACTTCCATAGAAAACAATTACTTTAACAGAACTCTTTCCGCACTATGTAAAGACATGCCACTGTAAAATTATAATTGACATACCCATCAAAGATGCTGAAGTTGAACCGGAACCCCAAGCAGCGGATCACACGATCATATGGCTGGCGGAGAGAGAAGTTGTCATTGTGGTACACAGGCAGGTTTGTCGCTGTGACCTTTGAACTGTTCTTCCCATCCGGACTGTCCAGTAGCTCAGCTAGAGTAAGGAACAACTGGCCACGCTTTTCCTTCCCACTGGATCTACACTTCTTCTTTCTGCCTGAGCGCTTCTTTTTATCCTCTCCATTTCTGACGATAGCAATGTCCTCAAGGCCTCCCTCCACCAGCCCATCAAGGGACTTTAGCTGGTACGTGTCTAGCAGCTCATTGTTCACAGCTCTGTGGAAGAGAGAAAATAGATCACTTTGATATGTAAAGATTATGCTAAGAGGATAGCAACATACTCCGATCTAAAACACTGCTGCAGGAGTACTAAAATCAGTGAAACAAAAGAAATAACAATTGGTAGGAGAGGACAATATGGGAGTCAAAACCTAAATCATGCCTCTCAGTACCTGAGGTCTCCGACATAATGTGTCTGCCAGGCTAGGCGGACCGGGCTCGGGCTATAGAGATGGATCCGGCTGGCCCTACCCAGGATGCTCTGAGCTGTTTCAAATGCTGAGTTCCCCTTGCCCAGGATCAGCACGGCCTGGTCCTTATATTCCTCTGGGTCCACAGGGATGGACTCATAGCCCTCCACCAGGTCTGAGCCCTCAAACTGGACCTTCTGAGGATCCCACAGTCCTGTGGACACCAGGAGGACTCTGTGGGTAAGAGAGAAAGAGAGAGATAATCATCTCTTGAATGGTATTCATAGCGGATAATTTTTCCATATTTCCATCCTTTTACATTAGATACAGTGCATTCGGAAAGTATTCAGACCCCTTGACTTTTTCCACATTTTGTTACGTTACATCCTTATTCTAAAATTGATTCAATAAATAAAAATCCTCATCAATATACACACACACAATACCCCATAGTGACAAAGCGAAGACAGGTTTTCAGAATTTGTTTGCAAATGTATGAACATTTTTTAAAACAGAAATACCTTATTTATATAAGTATTCAGACGCTTTGCTTTGAGACTCGAAATTGAGCTCAGGTGCATCCTGTTTCCATTGATCATCCTTGAGATGTTTCTACAACTTTATTGGAGTCCACCTGTGGTAAATTAAATTGATTGGACATGATTTGGAAAGGCACACGCCTGTCTATATAAGGTCCCACAGTTGACAGTGCATGTCAGAGCAAAAACCAAGCCATGAGGTTGAAGGAATTGTCCGTAGAGCTCCAAGACAGGATTGTGTCGAGGCACAGATCTGGGGAAGGGTACCAAAAAATGTCTGCAGCAAAGGTCCCCAAGAACACTGTGGTCTCCATCATTCTTAAATGGAAGAAGTTTGGAACCCCCAAGACTCTTCCTAGAGCTGGCCGCCCGGCCAAACTGATCAATCGGGAGAGAAGGGCCTTGGTCAGGGAGGTGACCAAGAACCCGATGGTCAGTCTGACAGAGCTCTAGAGTTCCTCTGTGGAGACGGGAGAACCTTCCAGAAGGACAACCATCTCTACAGCACTCCACCAGTCAGGCCTTTATGGTAGAGTGGCCAGACGGAAGCCACTCCTCAGTAACAGGCACATGACAGCCCGCTTGGAGTTTGCCATAAGGCACCGAAAGACACTCAGACCATAAGAAACAAGATTCTCTGGTCTGATGAAACCAAGATTTAACTCTTTGGCTTGAATGCTAAGCGTCACGTCTGGAGGAAACCTGGCACCATCCCTAAGGTGAAGCATGGTGGTGGCAGCATCATGCTGTGGGGATGTTATTCAGCTGCAGGGACTGGGAGACTAGTCAGGATCGAGGGAAAGATGAACAGAGCAAAGTACAGAGAGATCCTTGATGAAAACCTGCTCTAGAGCGCTCAGGACCTCAGACTGGGGCGAAGGTTCACCTTCCAACAGGACAATGACCCTAAGCACACGACAACGCAGGATTTGCTTCGGGACAAGTCTCTGAATGTCCTTGAGTGGCCCAGCAAGAGCCCGGACTTGAACCTGATCTAACATCTCTGGAGAGACCTGAAAATAGCTGTGCAGCGACGCTCCCCATCCAACCTGACAGAGCTTGAGAGGATCTGCATAGAAGAATGGGAGAAACTCCCCAAATACAGGTGTGCCAAGCTTGTAGCGTCATACCCAAGAAGACTTGAGGCTGTAATCGCTGCCAAAGGTGCTTCAACAAAGTACTGAGTAAAGGGTCTGAATACTTATGTAAATGTGATATTTCCGTTTTTTTTAAAACCAGTTTTTGCTTTGTCATTATGGGTATTGTGTGTAGATTGTTGAGGAGAAAAACAATTTAATCCACTTTAGAATAAGGCTGTAACATAACAAAATGTGGAAAAAGTCAAGGTGTCTGAATACTTTCCGAATGCACTGTATTAGTATGGATATAACACAGTACCTGCATGTATAGTCCAGTCCACGCTGGTCAGTCAGTATGTATCCCCTGCCTCTAGGTGATTCAGACTCTGAGGCCCTGATCTTCCCGATGTCCACCCCATACTGGACCTTCAGCCCCAGCTCCTTCACATACATGGAGAGGTAGCGGGGGAATGAGTCTGCGTCGGGGTAGAGCTCCCGGCTGACTCGCTGAAGCAGCAGGTCAGGCCTGTCACTCAGGAGGGAGTTCCAATCGTGGCGAAGGTTGAACTCGCGGTTCCGCCTCCCTGTGTAGATCTTGTTGATGCTGATGAGTTTCCTGTGTCGAGGGTATCTTTAAATGGAGAGAAAAAATATCCATGAGATACAACACGTTCATGTACATGGTGTAGGTCAGGACATATTTCTATGAGCAGGGCAATAGAGAGAGTTGCATCATTGTTGCACTGTCACAAAATACTTTGCTGAGTTGGAAAATGTATTCAGCAAGTGCAACACCCGATATAGCCGACACCCATTACTACAGTGGCACTCACATATTGAAGAAGCTCCCTGGCCCCGAGTTCCTCTCCAAGATGATGTAATCTCTCTGACTCTTGGAGAGAAAGTGACCCATCTGAAGGCCCGCGGGCCCGGCTCCAAGCACACAGTAGTCATGGTGACGGGTGCTGTTGTGACTGTTGTAGTCATCAGGAAAACATTGGACCAGGGTGACCAGGAGGGCAAGGAGAAGAAGGATAGGGGAATCCATGACCTATGAATGAGTAAAAGGCAATGAAGGCATTTATTGGTGGGAGAGTGGGTTTAGTGAAGGTCATTGCAATACCCTGGTGACAATAATCAATGGCACATTTAAGCTTTGGAAGCTGCAGCCTGAAAATATCCACTGACAGCAGCAACCATATTATTACAAAAGTCATGCAACTCCTTTCAGTGGCTTTACCAACATAAGAAGGTCATTTGAAATTAAATATCAGATAGCATTGTTCAAGTGAGTGGAAGAACAGAGAAAGTACGACAATAGTGGGCCTTCATGGGGTGTATCCCCGTGCTCGCCTTGAAACTCTAGCCCGACATCATAACTCGAAATGAGGGGATGCAGCTGCACTAGACCGCTGTTTGAGAAGCACTCCACGAGCCCAAAAGACACAACAGATCAATTAAAGTAGGATGTCTTACCTTTCACTGCAATGGTTCCCTCTCATCTAAACCCATATCAATTAGCATTTGGTCTGTAAATAAAACTCTCCAACAACCTACATTCTGGGATTTCATAACGGAGCCCCTATACCTTGATACGACGCTCAAGCATGCCAAAGTATTCTGACCAATAAGAGCTTGTGTGTAAAATAGAGGGCGTGATAAAAAAAATTAAAGTGACGGACAAGAACTGCAGTGGTGTAAAGTACCTAAGTAAAAATACTTGAAATTACTACTTAAGTAGTTTTTTGGGTTATCTGTACTTTACTTTACTATTTATATTTTTGACTACTTTTACTTTTACTTCACTACATTCCTAAAGAAAATGATGTACTTTTTACTCCATACATTTTCCCTGACACCCAAAAGTACACGTTACATTTTGAATGCTTAGCAGGACAGGAAAATATTCTAATTCATACACTTTTCAAGAGAACATAGTCATCCCTACTGCCTCTGATCTGGCGGACTCACTAAACACATGCTTCGTTTGTAAATTATGTCTGAGTGTTGGAGTGTGCCCCTCGCTATCCATACATGTAAAATACAAGAAAATGGTGCCGCCTGGTTGGCTTAATATAAGGAATTAGAAATAATTTATACTTTACTTTTACTTTTGATACGTAAGTATATTTGAGTAATTACATTTACTTTTGATACTTAAGTATATTTAAAATCAAATACTTTTAGACTTTTACTCAAGTAGGATTTTATTGGGTGACTTTCACTTTTACTTGAGTCATTTTCTATTAAGGTATCTTTATTTTTACTCAAGTATGACAATTGGGTATTTTTTCCACCACTGAAGAACTGTTAGCTACTTTTGATACAAAAGTATCAAGTAGAAAAAGTAACAGTTTGACCTTCTTTATTACATTCAATGTAATAAACTTTGTAATGTTGCAATTTTTTAGATTTTTAGATAATTGTAGTAATTTGATTAATGTTTTGTGAAAGACATACTAATCATTATTAAATGTTAATTAAGTGAAACATAACATGCATATTATTATAATATCATAAACATAATTAACTATTCATAATATTATCATGCCTAGAAATTGCTCTGATATGATTTTTGCCTTCGGCGACTGCAACATACATTTCTGTTGAGTCATGTTATCCCACTTCTCTATTTTGTTGAATCATGTTATTATGCTAGCTGGTGTCATATCAGGTTATCTATAGATTGGTAATAGATCAATAGATGGATAATAGACAGATGTAGGGTAAATCATACTAATTGAATGTTGAGAGCAAGAGTTTACAATGTAATCCCCTGAAAGGAATTTTGACCTGCAGTTAGTCATTTGTGGCTGCAACTTTGTACCAACACAAAGTGCAATGAACACAATGGGAGAGAGAATTGGGTTAAATTGGATTAACTAAACCATTGAGTCCTGCCTGCAGTTAAGTCAGCATATTGAATCACTCTTGTTTTTCTGACTCATCTTCAGAAAACGAATAGGTACATACACTGAGTGTACAAAACATTAGGAACAAGACATAGGCTGACCAGGTGAATCCAGGTGAAAGCTATGATCGCTTATTGATATCACCTGTTAAATCCACTTCAATCAGTGTAGATGAAGGGGAGGAGACAGGTTAAAGAAGGATTTTCAAGCCTTGAGTCAATTGAGACATGGATTGTTTATGTACGCCATTCAGAGGGTGAATTGGCAAGACAAACGTTTTAAGTGCCTTTGAACGGGTATGGTAGTAGGTTTGAGTGTGTCAAGAACTGCAACGCTGCTGGGTTTTTCACGCTCAACAGTTTCCTGTGTGCATCAAAAATGGTCCACCACCCAAAAGACATCCAGCCAACTTGACACAACAGTGGGAAGCATTAGAATCAACATGGGCCAGCATCCCTGTGGAACACTTTCAACACCTTATCGAATTGAGGCTGTTCTGAGAGCAAAAGGGGGTGCAACTCAATATTAGGAAGGTGTTCCTAATGTTTTGTACACTCAGTGTATATACCTTTGTTCTCACCTGTAGTCAACATACTCTCCCTCAATAGCAGAAGGAACACATTCACTTCCTGTGGTTCATGTGACTGTCTTTAATGATTTCTACCATCCCATCTGCTCACTCATGCTCTCCCCTCACTGGTAAATCTGCCCTGTCATGTTAAGGTTCAGCATAAGGGAAATGAGTCAACAGTCTCACTTCCCATTTGATTTAGCTGACAAACACTGGGAGAGAAGGTAAGGGAGTCAAATATAAAGACAGGGGCACAGGACAAAGAGGACACAGCAACTCTAAACTTGTCTGAGAAGGAGGCAGCTTTCGTTTACCAGCTGTACAACAAGACATCAACAAGGAAATACCACACAGGTAAATTATCAACTCTTTCACTGACTTGTTTTTGAATAAACTGTAAGAGCTGGTCACATTTGGGTGATAATGTTATAACCACCATATAAACAATTCTGGATTACAGACATGGAGACAGTCAGCTCGGCACGGAAATATGACATGCAGAGCCCTGGCAGGTACAGTAACTTTGTAATGAATGGTCGATATGTTTACTAGATTATTGTATTTCAGACCAGGTCAGGGCTGATATATGGTAAAGTAAAGGTATTGAAGATACAGAACACAATTACTAACTGCAAACACTGTGCATCACATTTACTGTACTCGGGTAAATCAGTATGTCCTCCTTCCAATGTTCGCCATCTCTCCTCAGTGATTTGTCAGAGCAGATAAAAGCAGCGACTAAAGACATCCATGTCAGGGCAGAAAACACCCAACTGATGCTGAGCTATCAGAAGGGACAGATAACTCTTCGGCAGTACAAGGTGAGAAAAGCCAATCTGAGAGTGAATTAAAAACCACTTGCCAAAATTATTTACAGTGGTTTTCATATTATGAACTACCTAGAATGCCTTTTGTTTAACTTTCTACATAGTCATGGAGAATGAGCACTCAATGTGTATTAAGTATTAATCTGTGCCCCTCTTTTCCATGGCAGCTTCTTCTGTGTTCCCTCTATGAGATCTACAAAGCACTGGAAGAGGAGATGGACAGAAATGCTTCCCACCCAGGTGTCGCACCGATATACTTCCCCCAGGAACTGGCCCGACTGGAGACACTAGAGAGAGATCTGGAACACTTCTTTGGACAGGAGTGGCGAAAGAGAGTCATCACTCCTGCTGCAACACACAGATATACACAGAGACTTCGCAAGGTACAGACTATAGATATACCAACATGCAGGGTAGGCACACTATCTTAATTGTGTACCTGCTTAGTAATAACAATTTCTTTGTCTCCCTCTCCAGATTGGCGAAGGCAATCCTAAATTGCTGGTGGCCCACGCCTACACCCGTTACCTAGGTGACCTGTCAGGAGGACAAGTTTTGGGGAAGATTACCCAGAAGTCAATTGGGTTAAGCAGCAGAGAGGGACTGTCATTTTTCTCTTTCCCCGGAGTGTCAAGCCCTAACCGCTTCAAGCAGCTGTACAGGAGCAGAATGAACAGCATCGAGCTGACCAAGGAGGAGAGGGAGGGGGTGCTGGAGGAGGCTATCATGGCCTTCGAACTCAACATCCAGGTGAGTGAAAGGGAAGAGGGAGGAAGGGTGGCTGCAAACTGGGTAAGAATGGGAACTGATACAATAATGAAAAGTCACTATGAAAAGTTCTACAGCTGTACCATTGAGAGCATCTTGACTGGCTGCATCACTGCTTGGTATGGCAGTAGCACTGCCCTCGATCGCATGGCACTACAGAAGGTGGTGCGGACAGCCAAGTACAGTGGGGAAAAAAAGTATTTAGTCAGCCACCAATTGTGCAAGTTCTCCACTTAAAAAGATGAGAGAGGCCTGTCATTTTCATCATAGGTACACGTCAACTATGACAGACAAATTGAGGAAAAAAAATCCAGAAAATCACATTGTAGGATTTTTAATGAATTTATTTGCAAATTATGGTGGAAAATAAGTATTTGGTCACCTACAAACAAGCAAGATTTCTGGCTCTCACAGACCTATAACTTCTTCTTTAAGAGGCTCCTCTATCCTCCACTCATTACCTGTATTAATGGCACCTGTTTGAACTTGTTATCAGTATAAAAGACACCTGTCCACAACCTCAAACAGTCACACTCCAAACTCCACTATGGCCAAGACCAAAGAGCTGTCAAAGGACACCAGAAACAACATTGTAGACCTGCACCAGGCTGGGAAGACTAAATCTGCAATAGGTAAGCAGCTTGGTTTGAAGAAATCAACTGTGGGAGCAATTATTAGGAAATGGAAGACATACAAGACCACTGATAATCTCCCTCGATCTGGCGCTCCACGCAAGATCTCACCACGTGGGGTCAAAATGATCACAAGAACGGTGAGCAAAAATCCCAGAACCACACGGGGGGACCTAGTGAATGACCTGCAGAGAGCTGGGACCAAAGTAACAAAGCCTACCATCAGTAACACACTACGCCGCCAGGGACTCAAATCCTGCAGTGCCAGACGTGTCCCCCTGCTTAAGCCAGTACATGTCCAGGCCCGTCTGAAGTTTGCTAGAGTGCATTTGGATGATCCAGAAGAGGATTGGGAGAATGTCATATGGTCAGATGAAACCAAAATAGAACTTTTTGGTAAAAACTCAACTCGTCGTGTTTGGAGGACAAAGAATGCTGAGTTGCATCCAAAGAACACCATACCTACTGTGAGGCATGGGGGTGGAAACATCATGCTTTGGGGCTGTTTTTCTGCAAAGGGACCAGGACGACTGATCCGTGTAAAGGAAAGAATGAATGGGGCCATGTATCGTGAGATTTTGAGTGAAAACCTCCTTCCATCAGCAAGGGCATTGAAGATGAAACGTGGCTGGGTCTTTCAGCATGACAATGATCCCAAACACACCGCCCGGGCAACGAAGGAGTGGCTTCGTAAGAAGCATTTCAAGGTCCTGGAGTGGCCTAGCCAGTCTCCAGATCTCAACCCCATAGAAAATCTTTGGAGGGAGTTGAAAGTCTGTGTTGCCCAGCGACAGCCCCAAAACATCACTGCTCTAGAGGAGATCTGCATGGAGGAATGGGCCAAAATACCAGCAACAGTGTGTGAAAACCTTGTGAAGACTTACAGAAAACGTTTGACCTGTGTCATTGCCAACAAAGGGTATATAACAAAGTATTGAGAAACTTTTGTTATTGACCAAATACTTATTTTCCACCATAATCTGCAAATAAATTCATTAAAAATCCTACAATGTGATTTTCTGGATTTTTTTCCTCATTTTGTCTGTCATAGTTGACGTGTACCTATGATGAAAATTACAGGCCTCTCTCATCTTTTTAAGTGGGAGAACTTGCACAATTGGTGGCTGACTAAATACTTTTTTCCCCCACTGTACATCATTGGGGCCGAGTTCCCTGCCATCCAGGACCTCTATATCGGGCGGTGTGAAAGGAGGGCCTGGAAAATCATGAAAGACTCCAGCCACCCAAAGCCACAGACTGTTCTCTCAGCTTCCGCATGGCAAGCGGTACCGGTGCATCAAGTCTGACACCAACAGGCTCCTGAACAGCTTCTATCCCCAAACCATAAGACTGCTAAATAGCTAACAAAATGGCTACACAGACTATCTGAGTTGACCCTTGTATTTCAGTTTTACACTGTCTATGCACACTCATGCACACTGACACTCCAACACAGACACAAACACTCACTCCAAAATTTGCTCAAACACACATAATATGCACATACATTTATACTGACTCTACACACACGCACTCACATACAATCATCATATACACTGTTGCTACTCTGTTTATCATTTGTCCTGATGCCTAATCACCTTATCCCTGTACATATCTACCTATATCACTCCAGTATCCCTGCACATTGTAAATATTGTACTGGAACTGACTGACCCTGTATATAGTATGCTTACTTTCTCATGTTCTTATTTCTTATAATTTTTCTAGTGTGTTTTTGTTCTACATTATGTTATTTTTAGTATTACATTCTTATTGATTACTGCATTGTTGGGTTTAGATCTTACAAGAAAGGCATTTCACTGTACTTGTGCATGTGACATTAAAACTTGCAAAACATAACTGTGCAAAGGAAGTGAAACTGGAAGGTCTAGTGAATGATGCATTGTAAACTTGTTACTGGGTTGCCATTGCCATAGCATATTGCTGATGATTGTGTGTCTTGTTCAATGAAGACATCCTGTTTGTTATTTCTCGTACAGGTCTTCGATGATCTACAGAAAATGTTGAGTGTCACAGAGGAAGCTTATGGTAAGTCAAAGCTTATATGCTGAATGGAAAGATGTGATCTTTCACCTGACTTTTGTGTTATAAGGTATTATTTTGCTTTTGCAGGGGACCAAAAAAAGACCAAGACACCAGCTTTCATCCCCTCTTCGTCCATCGTGCAGTTGTCTCTGGGTATTTGTGTTGCTTTAGCAACAGTCGGAATAGGTATCTATGTATTCTAAAGCCTTGAAATAAGTCCTTAAATATGTATGTTTATGTAGTTGACAGAATCACTTCACCAATCATGACCACCTAAGGGTGTATGCACTTACTACACTTTGTCATGGCTGTACTTTTTTTAATGCTTAAGGCAATCTTATAGTAATGTAAATTGATATATGCTGTATTAATTGCAATTCTGTACAATATCTTTGTACATAGTATGTTTCATTAAAGATTATGCACACCATTTCAACATAGCAAACTTCTTTATTTAAACATTTCTTTTTTATTTTCACAATTATTTAACGTTAACAATCTTTAGGGCATTCTCATGTCACTCGCTTCTTACCCCAAACAATTCAACAATACAGTTCATACAAAATAGCCTCCATAACATCATTTGTTTAGTCTTAAAATAATAGATACCAAAAGACTTATGAGAGCAATAGAAGTGTAAATAACTGTTGGCTTAACTTGGCAAAGCAACACATGAAAAGGTAGACATCAGTGGCTCTGTAGGCGGACCATGGTCTAGGATGGAGAAGACATATTGACGTGACTTCATGAAGATGTCCACCGGCTTGTGAGGAATGAATGGAGGAGACGCTTGTCCCAACTACTATTTACACAGCACATCATGGCTTCATCTTTGTGCGTATGCATCTTTTTGTGAGACTACTTGATTCTGTAGAGAACCTTCCTCTGCATGCGGTGCTGCAGCTCTCCCCTCCTCATCATCAGGTGAAGGACCTTGTAGATGGCCTGCTCTGGATACTTCTGTATATGGGAGAGGGTAGAGAGATTCTGGTCAGCGGACAGGTAAACAGGCTACAGGGTAACACGTAGGCCAACTGAGGACAGCACTCAATCATATAGACAAATGCCCAACATTCCATTGCACAAGGTACTTTTATGTGATTGACCAAGTGGTCCAGTCTCTGTTCAACACAGTATATGTTCAAAGTAGACTAGTGTAACTGACCTGCTTGGTGAAGTCCTGGACAATGCTGTGCTCGGACACCTGGGAGCCAATGGCAAAGCGTCTCTTCAGCTGCTTCTCAACACGAGAGATCATCTCCTGGTCCTCCTGAGTGGTGAAGCCCTCCACACCCGAGAGACTGCCGGACAGCGCAGCGTCCAGTGTGGACACCTGGAAGAGCCGCAGGGCCTCGTCCACCTCCTCCTCTCCAGCCACGGCCTGCAGCTTCATCTTGGCCAGGGACTCAGAGATGCGCACCACCGCCTCCAGCTGCCTACAGGGGACCAGAGAATCAAGCGTAATGACACTGAAGATAGACTGTATCCTGATTGGTAATGATGTTGTCAGGTGAAGCATCATATAGGTACCTGACAGTGATGGGGATGGAGGCTCTCCTGTCGCTCTCCCGCTCATGTTCCCTCGCTCCACTCCTCATCACCACGTATCTGTTCTTCAGCTTTTCAGCTGCCGACGCAGAGAGACGTGGGCCGCATTTCCTGTCAGGGCACATTTGACCGTTAAAACACCAAATCCCTTCATGTGTATATGCTAGTGTGTAGGATTGTTTCTCTGTGAGTAGAGTTCATGAATTCAATCTAAACAGAATATATCATACACAGGATATATTATCTGCAGAATTTTTCAAGACTCACGTTCTGGCATAGGCAATGTACTTCTTCAGTGTGGCCAGTGTGATCTCTCCCTCCACACCCTCAGTCTGTGTATGAGCACTGAGATGGACGTTCATCACGTGGCGGGCCAGAGTCTGAGAGAGAAAAGAAGGTCAATAGTGTGGATTGTGTTAACACTGTGCTAGCCTGGGCCGTGTTCAGTATCCCTGTGCATAAACCTTCTCCCACACACACAAACCCAGAAGACTAAAGTGTGTTCCCTCACCATGTCTCTCTGATGGTCGTGGATGTCCTTGATGATAAAGATCATGTCGAAACGGGACAAGATGGTGGGCATGAAGTCGATGTTGTCCTCTCCCTTGGTGTCGTCCCAACGGCCAAACACAGAGTTAGCAGCGGCCAGCACCGAGCAGCGGGAGTTCAGGGTGGTGGTGATGCCAGCCTTGGCAATGGAGATGGTCTGTTGCTCCATGGCTTCATGGATGGCTACTCTGTCATCCTCTCTCATCTGAGAGGAAAGAGAGACACAGTTAAGAGTCTGCAAACAAACTTGTCAAGTATTCAGCAATGTATGTACTTCTCTTGTCCATGTTCCCATACTTTGTCAAACTCATCGATGCAGACCACCCCACCATCAGCCAGCACCATGGCTCCTCCCTCCATGATGAAGCCACGGGTGACGGGGTCCCTCAGGACAGAGGCCGTCAGACCAGCAGCACTGCTGCCTTTACCTGAGGTATACACCTGACAGAGGAAGAGAGAGAGGGGATGTATGGGTTAGCGCTTTAGATAGGGGTCACTAGCACACTGATAAATTAATTGTCAAATTAAACTTCTGGAATCCATCTTTGTAATTCATATTCAAAACTATGTTGAGGGAGTGTCATAAGAGTGCTGAAATATACACTGCTCAAAAAAATAAAGGGAACACTTAAACAACATCCTAGATCTGAATGAATTAAATAATCTTATTCAATACTTTTTTCTTTACATAGTTGAATGTGCTGACAACAAAATCACACAAAATATGGAAATCAAATGTATCAACCCATGGAGGTCTGGATTTGGAGTCACCCTCAAAATTAAAGTGGAAAACCACACTACAGGCTGATCCAACTTTGATGTAATGTCCTTAAAACAAGTCAAAATGAGGCTCAGTAGTGTGTGTGGCCTCCACGTGCCTGTCTGACCTCCCTACAACGCCTGGGCATGCTCCTGATGAGGTGGCGGATGGTCTCCTGAGGGATCTCCTCCAACTCCTGGACAGTCTGTGGTGCAACGTGGCGTTGGTGGATGGAGCGAGACATGATGTCCCAGATGTGCTCAATTGGATTCAGGTCTGGGGAATGGGCGGTCCATAGCAACAATGCCTTCCTCTTACAGGAACTGCTGACACACTCCAGCCACATGAGGTCTAGTATTGTCTTGCATTAGGAGGAACCCAGGGCCAACCGCACCAGCATATGGTCTCACAAGGGGTCTGAGGATCTCATCTCGGTACCTAATGGCAGTCAGGCTACCTCTGGCGAGCACATGGAGGGCTGTGCGGCCCCCCAAAGAAATGCCACCCCACGACTGACCCACCGCCAAACCGGTCATGCTGGAGGATGTTGCAGGCAGCAGAACGTTCTCCACGGCGTCTCCAGACTCTGTCATGTCTGTCACATGTGCTCAGTGTGAACCTGCTTTCATCTGTGAAGAGCACAGGGCGCCAGTGGCGAATTTGCCAATCTTGGTGTTCCTCTGGCAAATGCCAAACGTCCTGCACGGTGTTGGGCTGTAAGCACAACCCCCACCTGTGGACGTCGGGCCCTCATACCACCCTCATGGAGTCTGTTTCTGACCGTTTGAGCAGACACATGCACATTTGTGGCTTGCTGGAGGTCATTTTGCAGGGCTCTGGCAGTGCTCCTCCTCCTCCTCCTTGCACAAAGGCGGAGGTAGCAGTCCTGCTGCTGGGTTGTTGCCCTCCTACGGCCTCCTCCACATCTCCTGATGTACTGGCCTGTCTCCTGGTAGTGCCTCCATGCTCTGGACACTACGCTGACAGACACAGCAAACCTTCTTGCCACAGCTCGTATTGATGTGCCATCCTGGATGAGCTGCACTACCTGAGCCACTTGTGTGGGTTGTAGACTCCGTCTCATGCTACCACTAGAGTGAAAGCACCGCCAGCATTCAAAAGTGACCAAAACATCAGCCAGGAAGCATAGGAACTGAGAAGTGGTCTGTGGTCACCACCTGCAAAACCAGTCCTTTATTGGGGTGTCTTGCTAATTGCCTATAAATTTCCACCTGTTGTCTATTCCATTTGCACAACAGCATGTGAAATGTATTGTCAATCAGTGTTGCTTCCTACGTGGACAGTTTGATTTCACAGAAGTGTGATTGACTTGGAGTTACATTGTGTTGTTTAAGTGTTCCCTTTATTTTTTTGAGCAGTGTATACACACACACACACACACACACACACATAGTGCTTTCAGAAAGTATTCATACCCCTTGACTTGTTCCACATGTTGTGTTACAGCCTGGATTCAAAATGGATTAAATATATATATCCCCCCCCCCACCCACCCACCCATCTACACACAATACCCCATAATCTAATTTACATAATTATAATCTAATTTACATAAGTATTCACACCCGTGAGTTAATACTTCTTAGAAGCACCGTTGACAGCGAGAACAGCTGTGAGTCTTTCTGGGTGAGTCTCTAAGAGCTTTCCACACCTGGATTGTGCAACTTGCCCATTATTATTTTCTGTCAAATTGGTTGTTGATCATTGCTAGACAACCATTTTCAGGTCTTCTCAAGTAGATTTAAGTCAAAACTGTAACTCAGCCACTCCAGTATCTTCACTGTCTTCTTGGTAAGCAACTCCAGTATAGATTTGGCCTTGTATTTTAGGTTATTGTAATGCTGAAAGGTGAATTCAGCTCCCAGTGTCTGGTGGAAAGCAGACTGAACCAGGTAGGTCTTCCTCTAGGACTTTGCCTGTGCTTAGCTCCATTCTGTGTATTTTTTATCCTGAAAAACTCCCCAGTCCTTAATGATTACAAGCATACCCATAACATGATGCAGCCCCCACTACGCTTGAAAATATGGAGAGTGGTACTCAGTAATGTGTTGTACTGGATTTGCCCCAAACATAACACTTTGTATTCAGTCAGGACAGATAGTTAATTGCTTTGCCACATTTTTTGTAGTATTACTTTAGTCCCTTGTTGCAAACAGGATGCATGTTTTGGAATATTTGTATTCTGTACAGGCTTCCTCCTTTTCACTCTGTCAATTAGGTTAGTATTGTGGAGTAACTACAATGTTGTTGATCCATCCTCAGTTTTCTCCTATCACAGCCATTAAACTGTGTTTTAAAGTCACCATTGGCCTCATGTTGAAATCTCTGAGCGGTTTCCTTCCTCTCCTGAGTTAGGAAAAACGCCTGCATCTTTGTAGTGACTGGGTGTATTGATATACCATCCAAAGTGTAATTCAAAACTTCACCATGCTCAAAGGGATATATATATTTTTCCATCTACCAATAAGTACCCTTCTTTGCGAGGCATTGGAAAACCTCCCTGGTCTTTGTGGTTGAAATTCACTGCTCAGCCTTACAGATAATTGTACGTGTGGGGTACAGAGATTAGGTATTCTTTCAAAAACCATGTTTAAACACTATTATTGCACACAGTGAGTCCAGGCAACTTATGTGACTTGTTAAGCATATTTTTACTCCTGAACTTATGTAGGCTTGCCATAACAGAGGGGTTGAATACTTACCGACTCAAGACATTTCAGCTTTTTATTAATTTGTAAAAATGTCAAAAAACTAAATTCCACTTTGACATTATGGGGTATTGCGTGCATGCCAGTGACAAAAAAATCTCACTTTTATCCATTTTCAATTCAGGCTGTAACGCAACAAAATGTGGAAAAAGTCAAGGGGTGTGAATACATACACACTGTACATTAAGCCCATCCTTACCCCAATGGGAGAGCACCTCTCCACAAACTTGAGCAGCTGAGACTTGGCAGTACCGGGGTCTCCCAGCATCAGCAAGTTGATGTCTCCTCTACGGGTCAGCCCGTCAGGCAGCCTGAGACAGGAAAGGTCATTATTACCATACACACACACACACTGGAGAGAAATGTGAGCATATCAAAAATCGTAAAATTCTACGTGCAATTTCCAATGTTTATGACTCACCTCTTCCTGGAGCCGCCGAACAGCAGGCAGGCGATGGCCTTTTTCAGGTCATCACTGCCGTAGATGGAAGGAGCGATGGGAACGTGCGAGGGAGCCGTAGACGTCGGGGGAGGAGGCCAATGCTCTCAGCTCCTCCTCTTCCTGAGGGGAGACTGACCCTGTGGCCCCGCGACCTGAGAGACAAAGATAGCATTATATCTATGACACTATCCCACATAGGATATAATGTTGGATAAGTAATCTAACCTCTAGTAGCCTTATCATGCCTACCTGCTCCCTCTGTGTCCTGCTGAATGCCCACCACACGGAGGTAGGAGGAGCGGATGCCCACGCCTGCACTTTTATCTCTGCCCTTGCCCTTAGCATGGGCCACCTTCTTGATGGAGTAGATCCCCATGATGGTCACTCTGTTCCCAGGGACCACACGGTCACACAGGTACCTGAGGGGATGCAGAACACGAGCTGTAATGTGGTATGTACTCTTCGGTCTCACTTTGCACTGTGTGTATATTGGGCATGTGTTAATTGTTTTTAATTGAGAATATTGTGGTACACAGATGCTGCTGTGTGTGTTACCTGTCACAGTAGAGCTGCAGGTGGCGGGGCATCTCTCCGTGTGGCACAGCATCTGGAGCCTCCTGCAGACGGAGGGTCTGGAAGTCCACACAGACACAACGGTCTGGAATGATGAAGTAGGGATCTATAGGACACCTCACCCTGCCAGCCTGCTCACTGAGAGACAGAGAAGATATGTTTAAGAATGGAATCACACACACTATGATAAAGCAGATAATAATAAGCCATTTAGCAGACGCTTTTATCCAAAGCGACTTACAGTCATGTGTGCATACATTTTTACATATGGGTGGTCCCGGGGATCGAACCCACTACCCTGGCGTTACAAGTGCCATGCTCTACCAATTGAGCTACAGTGGACCACACTGATGATTTTACACACACACACACGAGGACTTTATACACTTTTCATGTACTGGAGTGTGCACACAAACACTCAACAACTCAGAGGGTCGCACTCACGTGTTGCACTTTCGGGGAAGAGCGTAGCCCTGCAGGCCTGGGGGCAGGGAGATGTTACTGATGACAGAGCGACAGCCACGACACTGCAGACACACCCTGGTGGCCTTGGCCCTCACGGCCGTGGCAGAGATGACGATCCCAGGGACCTTCACCAGCCTGGACACCTGCTCTGACTACCAGAGAGAAAGAGATGGAGTGTTCAGAGTCATGGCATGTTACATGGCTGGGAAATTGAGGGACATCTTTCATGCCACCCTCTACATGAGCCAACTGAAAGGTGAAAGGCCCAGCATTGCATCCTCAGAGGGTCTCTTACCTTGAGGTTGCGGATGGAGGCAGGATGGGCGTCACTCTTCAGCATGACCTGGATTTCCTGCACTGTCTCCTCTCCCAGGGGCCTGGGACGGGTCACCTCGTCAGCCACCTCCTGAGCGGCCTCCTCCAGCTGTCAATCATAATGTCAGGGCTCAGTTTAAAAGGATCCTTTTCAGATATAGTTATTTGTCAAATAGAAAAATAGTAGATCAGTATGATACGATCAGCAAACTATAGGAACCCATCTAATCCATGAATTATTCAGCCTGCAATTGGGCCAATTAAAACAACTCAAATTATTAGTCTATTATTATTCTATTCAAGCCTCTCACCAGAGGCAGGTTCTCAGAGGGCAGCTTGTACAGGCAGTCTGACAGGTCCTCGTCAAAGCTGGCCAGGTCCTCCATCTCCACCTCCACCCAGTACTCCCCCAGGGTGTAGTGTCTCTTCAGGTCATCTCTACAGACCAGAACACATGTCAACAATCCAACATGAACAATATAAGATATATAGATATCTTACACAGAATGTGAATTTAATCATAGGGCAAACAAAACGATTGGACATAGCTAAAAACAAACTCAATCACAGGACATTGAATAGAGTCTAACTTTATTCCTTCAAAACCATTGTGGTGATCAGTGGTAGTTAGCTAACGTTACAGTAACTGGCTACCTAACTAACTGTTAGCTAGCTGGCTAACTAACGTTAGGCATCGGTGGAACATCGTCATCACACAAACCGGCGGTAGCCATCGACAATGACTTCGTGGCACTATATACAATCTCGATCTTACCTGTATTTATAGGTGAAACCGGTGCGATCGGTCCCAACTCTGAATTGCCGAAGAAATTCACGGAATCGTTTCTTGATCTGGCTCCGTTTCACACCACCTTCATCCCCGGGTCCATCTCCACCGCCGAAGCTGTCACTGTAATACACTCCCGGGTCGTCGAAACCAGACATAATGCACCGATTATATCTACAAAGTGATGAAAATAAAGTTTGGGTGCTCAAAGTCCAATAATTCTAAACGTAAAACACTTTTTAATGACTGACTCCAATGACTTTCTGTGGACAATGAATTCCACGCTGACTCTTTCGCGGCAAAATTTTGCGTCACTTTCCCGCGAGATCCGATATCAACGCCCTCCCTCGCTTTGCCATTGGGAGATAGGCTCGACTAGTGATAATGATTGGCTGAATACATTGCTAGAGTCATGTCCTGATTGTAGAAGGGTGGGACTTGCAAGAGTTGGTGGCGGGAAAAGAACAAATAACCAGATATGAGCAAGCCAGGGACATTATATTGTGGTGGCGCTACAACAAACTGAAACAACCCGTTGTGTTTCTTCTGTGATCACAAAGTTACTAGCTACTGTTGATGCAAGCACACGTTGATTTCCCTGAATAAAAACAATACTTTAAAATATATTCTTCTAGCTTGCCCAGTATTACAACCATATCTAGCCAACATAGCTAGCTAGCTTCATAGAAAAATACAAAGTTTTGTCAAAAGTATTTTATTCATTCAACTGAGAAAAGTTGGTGAAGCATGGCGTTTGCAACGCCAGGGTTGTGGGTTCGATTCCCACTGGGGGCCAGTATGAAGAAAAAAAATGTATGCACTCACTAACTGTAAGTCACTCTGGATAAGAGCGTCTGCTAAATGACTAAAATGTTTTAAAAAATGTAAAAGCAACAAATAGCATTGACCACAATTGACCTTAGTCTGTAATACATTACCCTGTATGTAATACATTATCTTTGTCACACTGTCATTCATAGGCCTCCTCTGTAACCTGTAACCCAGTCCAAGCTCTGCAAGCTGTTTGTCTTTTTAACTTGCTTATTGGCAGCAAAATGATCCATCAGTTCTTCTATTTAAGACACGACTCCATGCTTCCTGCCTGTCTGTATGAAAGCATCCACAGCGCGGTCAATGTCCTGGTCAGTGTGGGCCGCTGAGATCTGGACCCGGATTCTGGCTTTGCCCTTTGGTACCACTGGGTAGGAGAACCCAATCACATACACTCCTGTGGGAATCAGAAGAATGAGTACTTGCAGTAGATAGACATAACACTGAAGACTTCGGTCCTTCAAGAAAGGGCAGATTGGAGGCCCGAATTCAAATGAATATTTTTTTCCCAGCCCTTGTATTCAAGCAGTGTAGTTTGCAGCTAATAGTCTATTAGGTCTATGGTGGCCAAAGGGCCCCTATGTCAACTCTGATTGTTGTCAGCTCCCATTTTGTGAGACAGAATTGTTGAATACAAAATATCAATGAGTAAATCTCTGTCTCCCTCTACAGGTTGATGTGTGTCCATTCATTTGTAATTCCACACTGCTCTGTTTGCCAGAAATCTTTTTGATCAAGCTTTTCAAAAATAGTTAAGTTCTATAAAATGAGTGGACAAAAAACCCATAGAGTATTTCAAACAAATATACAGCTTGTTTTGTAATGTTTGATAATGCTTGAAATGTGCTTGTGCTCCATTCACATTCAGCCTGAACTGTTGTCTCACCTAGTTTCAGCATGTCATCAGCCATCAGAGAGGCTAGTCTGGCGTCCCCCAGCATCACAGGACAGATAGGGTGGTCAGAGCCTGAGATGGTGAACCCAGCCTCAGTCATTTTGTTTCTGAACCTACGAGAGGGGGAGAGAATAATGACAACATGACAGAAATGGCACTCGTTCCTCATACAGTATCTATGCCTTCAACTTTCATTGTTGCTAACTGGGTTCTCTGGGAAACATGTAGTGCTCTTGAAACTGTAAACATGTGTGGAAGGATCCACTGGAGGCTGCTGAGGGGAGGACAGCTCATAATAATGGCGCAAATTGAATCGCATCAAACACATGGAAACCATGTGTTTGATACCATTCCACTTATTCCGCTGCAGTCCTCCCCAATTAAGGTGCCACCAACCTCCTGTGAAGGACACAGTACAGATAAGAGACGAAACAAGCAAGTGTTGAATGCAGAATAAACACAGATCTTGTCACTTTTTCAGCACAAGGGATTAGTCAATCTCAAGGTCAATCAATTGCTCTTTTCAAACATGTCCCTTTCATGATTTTGTTCATACGTATTTTTCACAAAGACCAACACAAAAGGCTTATCTGTTTTTGTCCGTGCTCCTATGTTAACCGTTGCATAAGCTTAGAGGGTGTCTACCACATTCACCAAAACAGAGGGCCCCTCCCCGGATTCCCACCTCATGGTTTTGTCCCCGACACTCTGAGCAATCTCATTGGACGCGAGAAGCAGCTCGACAGCCCGGGTAGCGCAGCCCACGACAGGAGGGGGGAGGGAGTTGGAGAAGAGGTAGGGACGAGAGCGCTGCCTCAACAGGTCAATCAGAGGTTTAGGACCCACTGTGTACCCACCTGAGAGAAAATAGAAAGAAAACCATATCCACCTTATATATTGAGATAAACCTGACCTGAAGGTCCAGGTGGAAAGAAAAAGCTGACCCCATATCGATGTATATTTTCAAGTTTATTTTTGTCATCCATTTATGAAGTTAAATTACAGAGCCTACATTGTCAATAGTGACATTTCATAAGCATTGAGAACATACAGTACCGTTAATGGACTCCATATACTATATGGGTCTAAACTGAGGGAAACCTACCAGCTGCACCTCCCAGTGCTTTTCCCAGAGTAGAGTTGACAATGTGAACCCTGTCCATCACTCCCAGTAGCTCATCTGTGCCTCTGCAAACAAAATTGAATAACACTATTAGTCTGAATAATTGGCTACAAAACCATCATCCTTTCTAGTATTCCTAGGCATAATTACATAATTAGAGTTCTATCATAATTTCTCCATCTCTCCACCTGGACCTTCACTAACCTGCCTCGTGGGCCCATGAAGCCTGTAGCATGGCATTCATCAATGAAGACCAAGGCTCCATACTGCTCTGCCAGGTCACAGATCCCCTTTAATGGAGCCATGTCACCATCCATGGAGAACACACCATCCGTGACAACGAGGCGTAGACGAGAAGACTGAGAGGGACAGGGCGCCATGATGACCAGTGATGCAAACACAGCCCATTAACACTAAAATCAATTCAGAAATCTACCCATCACTACGGTTTCAAGCTTCATGGATTTCAAGAGGATTCTGTATGATAAGCTTTATGAAAGGTACAGCTCTTCATTAAAAAAAGAAGCTGTGCAATCATATGAAGGTAGTGCAGGTATTAGGATGGGGAAGACTGGGTTAAGAAATCCTCTAGCTGGAAGATGGACAGCAGATGAAGGCAGTCTTACTTCTTACCCCTCCGTCATTATCCCACATAACAATCACCTCAAGGAGATTATTATTTCAATGCATGTATAGCACCCTCTTTACCTGGGACTCTTTCAGCTGGGTCTCCAAGTCATTCAGGTCCATGTGTTTGTATCTGAACCTCTTGGCCCGACACAATCTGATCCCATCAATAATAGAGGCATGGTTCAGCTCATCAGACAGAACTGCATCGTCGGGGCCCAACAGAACCTGATGTAGAACAGAGTGCATTACTACTTTAGGCCTGTTTAATACAGTGGCATATATACTGTAAAGACATACCATGCAACATAATGTTATAAAACAGTTATAATCACATGTTAATGTATTCAAGAATCACAAACCTCAAATAGCCCTGCGTTGGCGTCAAAACAGCTGGCATATAGGATGCAGTCCTCCCGCTCATGGAACTGAGCCAGCTTCTGCTCCAGATCTTTGTGAATGTCCTGTGGATCATATGGTAAGGAGACAATCACAGAGTACTGTGAACCACCAACAATAATAATAATAATAATAATATGCCATTTAGCAGACGCTTTTATCCATAGCGACTTACAGTCATGTGTGCATACATTTTTACGTATGGGTGGTCCCGGGGATCGAACCCACTACCCTGGCGTTACAAGCGCCATGCTCTACCAATTGAGCTACAGAGGACCACAACACTTGTGCAAGCAGTCTTTTGGTTACCTGTGTGCCACAGATGAATCTCACTGAGCTCAGCCCGGCACCATACTTCTTCAAGGCCTCTATCCCTGCCTCCACTACCTGGGGATGGCTGGAGAGGCCCAGATAGTTGTTTGCACAGAAATTCAATATGTCTGTATGGGGAGAGAGAGTGAAACAATAGGTAAGCATATATAAGCCAGGTCTTAGAGGACATACACATCATAACAATACTGACTCAACTCCCAGAGAAAGCTTGATTTACCAGTGGCAATTACCACAGTGACCTTGCATGACTGCTGGAGGGAGTATGAGTGGGAATTTCTGCCATTGTGTACTTACTGGCAAATACAGCAGAGTGCCAGTTGTACACATGAGAGGACATGCAGTCAATAAGCCATTCATAAATCAGCACTAGGGGTCAGTCATTCTCTGGTACACAAAGGTGAACAGTGACAACACCAGCAGCCACCACAAATCACGATAACACTAATCACACGCATAACTTCCAGTTGCCAAGTAGGGCAAGTCTCGGTCATGTAGCTAGCTACCCCAACACCATCAGGCTGAGATGAATTTCTGCGAAGTTCAGATGGGGGCAGAAAATACTAAGCTAGTAGGTAAACTAGCTAGCTAGCTTGCTACAACTCCTGGCTGTATGCAACAAGTTTGACCTCGTTGGACAACGTGGGTAGACTAGAGCTAAATTTCTCGGTGCCAACTTTTGCCACATGTTTTTCATGTCCCTGAGGGCAGCAATAGGTAGGCAAATCAATAGAATTGAAAGCTGGTGAGCTGACCCTTAACTATAACGTTCGGCTACTCACCGCCACGACTGCCGTCCACGTTGATATGAGGACCCTGCTTGGACGTGATTATTCTTTCTCCTTTCCACGTTCCACCGGTTCGGATCGTTTCAAGTTCATGCTCCAGCAGCGATCTAGCCTCGGCGACAGCTGCATAGCCCCGGTTTGAGGTGGTAGTCGAGGGTCTCAAAATACCCCTTATTGGGGTACTAAGACAACGGACAGCTGTTCTAAGAGGCATGGTGAATTTCTGTCAAAATCTTTCCAAGCAGTTGACAGGTTGTGACTAGACAGAATAACGACGTAAGGCGTGGCCAACAATAATGTAAGTGACGTCAGAGTAATATGTAACTCACGTGGGCGTATCATGGAGCACCAATCAGAAGCTATGGGGAGTGTAGCGGCGTTTTCTGAATCCAACCACGTCTCAAAACATATAGCCAACGGCAGTACAGTATGAAGATAGGATAAAACTATCCCCGATCACACTTGTAGTCGATGTCATGGCGACGTTGGCTAGCTAAACTCATGCGTAGAAACACGTCGTCGGGTCTAATGGTCGTCTGGCGCCGAACTACGCATGTGCAGGCAGTCAAATCAAAGGCACTCCTTCGATGTAAAATAGTTTTTGACGAAAATAAAAACGTATCAGTTTGTCACTTTAACGAGGTTGGAGTAATAACATGTTAACCTACTTAAGACATTGGCTCGAATCTAGGTTGTGCCTTTAGATTTCGGCCTGGTCTGTTTCGTAAGCGTTCCCGGAAGTCTCGCGATGTTGCGCCTCTGGGTTTAGAAACTCCGTGGTAAAGCGACACCATGGGCGAGTTCGTTTCACATGGCCCGGTGTCCCGTAAGTTGGGTTCGCAAATGTTAGACTATTATATTGGCCCTTAAATCGCCAATATCCCGGGTCACGGGGCCATGCAAAACGAACTCGCCCTATTTAATTTGCAAGTAGCAACAAAGTAGCCTACTTAAGATAAAACATTTTACTTTTCAATTAAACCTGTAGAAAACCGAAACCACTGATAAAACAAAGAATAGCAACCAAAGAAACAAAGCAGTCTCTAAGTCTTTATACTTGTACACAGGAGATAGAGGTAAACAGCTTATTCTGAAAAAGGCCAATCGTGATTTATACAGAACAAAAATATAAAATGCAACATGTAAAGTGTTGGTCCCATGTTTCCAAGAAAGTCTCTCAAATTTTGTGTACAAATTTTTTCACATCCCTGTTAGTGAGCATTTCTCCTTTGCCAAGATAATCCATCCACTGACAGGTGTGGCATATCAAGAAGCTGATTAAACAGCATGAACATTACACAGGTACACCTCTTGCTGGGGACAATAAAAGGCCACTCTAAAATGTGCAGTTTTTTCACACAACACAATGCCACAGATGTCTCAAGTTGAGGGAGCGTGCAATTGGTAAGCTGACTGCAGGAATGTCCACCAGAGCTGTTGCCAGAGAATTGAATGTTCATTTCTCTACCATAAGCCACTTTCAACGTCATTTTAGAGAATTTGGCAGTATGTCGAACCGGCCTCACAACTGCAGACCACGTGTAACCAAGCCAGCCCAGGACCTCAAGATCCGTCTTCTTCACCTGCGGGATCGTCTGAGACCAGCCACCTGGACAGCTGATGAAATGGAGGAGTATTTCTGTCTGTAATAAAGCCCTTTTGTGGGGAAAAACTCATTCTGATTGGCTGGGCCTGGCTCCCAAGTGGGTGAACCTATGCCCTCCCAGGCCCACCCATGGTTGCGCCCCTGCCCAGTCATGTGAAATCCATAGATGAGGGTCTAATGAATTTATTTCAATTGACTGATTTCCATATGAACTGTAACTCAGTAAAATCATTTAAATTGTTGTTTATATTTTTGTTCAGTATAGTTTAGATACCATGCAGAATAAAGATTTCCAGATCAAAATGCTATATTTCAGAGATTCAAATATAGGCCTGCTTTATGCTTCACAACACATTTCTAAATTGCCTCTTTCATACTTTGGTTTTAGGCACAATGTTAGTTTTTACTTCGGGTATCAATTCCTTGTATCAGGAAAGAAAATACAGAGTTCAATTTGCCCTTGCCACGGTTGTATGGAACTCCTCTCAGCCCTTCGGTGTTCCACACGCTGAGCACCCCATCTCCCAACCCTCAGAGTGAATAAAAACAAACTATCTTTAAGACTTAATCTGTGTTTAATATTACAGTATTTCATCATGACATTGTGTAACATTTGATAAACTTCAAGTACTTCAGAAACAATTAGGTTTGTATTGCTCTTCCTAAAAGTGTTCTGTATTACACATGGGATTCATCATGAGCATCACATAATTCATTTCCTAACCATTTCCCCTAATTATAGCTTATTGCAATCTACTACCATTGTGTTTACCATGCCTGCATTTTCTGTTTATCTGAAAATATTGGACATATTCCATTCTCTTCTAAGAAATGTAACATGAATTAAACTCAATCATTGTGCAAATTCCGCATACCAGAGGAGGCTGGTGGGAGGAGCTATAGGAGGATGGGCTCATTATTTACATTTTAGTCATTTTAGCAGACGCTCTTATCCAGAGCGACTTACAGGAGCAATTAGGGTTAAGTGCCTTGCTCAAGGGCACATCAACAGATTTTTCACCTAGTCGGCTCGGGGATTAGAACCAGCGACCTTTCGGTTACTGGCACAACGCTCTTAACCACTAAGCTACCTGGAATGGAATAAATGAAACAGTACCAAACATAAGGAAACCACGTTTGACTCCGTTCCATTTTATTATATTCCAGCCATTATAATGAGCCCATCCTCCTATAGCTCCTCCCACCAGCCTCCGCTGATGGATATCCATATACATAGTGGCATGGAACGATTTAACTTATCATAAAGCACTCGTTTAGTGTAAGTTAAAAACACTTGGTCCATGTTAATTTAGCCTTAACATAAAAATACACATTAAACATATTAGATAAAGACCTTAACCCAGGGGAGTTTAACATAAAGTAGTACTGTAGTGTACCTGAGTGTCAGTAGCACACCCCTATTTTCAGGAGTTCTTGTTCCCACCAGTCATTTGCTCACTGTATGTGCCAATCATACATTCAGCCAGTTCAGTCCTCTCACACTATTTGGGAAAATGGCATTGGTTATGTGGCAGGTTGCGGCTTGGCCTATGACTCAGTGGTTGTTGTCACAAGAAGAAGCTTTCAGGGACGGGAGTCGCTCTGCTGCTCTCGCTCTTTCTGCCAGAAACTTGTCAAATTCTAAAAGGAGGGAGAAGGAGAAGTTGCCTTAGGAGGGCTTTGTTGGGTCTCAAAAAGGGATTCCTCAGGACTTTGCAATAGTACAAGAAAGCAAACAAAATTGTTGTTGGATCTACATAGCGATACCCAGGGAGTGGATGAGAAACTAAGAAATAGAAGCTCACCCTCACTTGTCACACCCTCTGAATCAGCCATGTCGTCCTCCTGTGACACACATAACACACATGAAAGCCTTGTCTGTTGTGTTCACGTCAACAGTCATTTGTCCAAACAAATCTACTTGCTCATGCAAGCAGATTGAATATGTTCAAGAATCCAGGAATGCTACATTTGCTGGGGTAAAGTACAAAGCAGGCATTTGCATTTACTGTACACTATAGTCCATAAAACCAAATGAGAAAGGGGGTGCAAGGACAGGCACTGGTATAACATGGAACCAAGTTGGACTCTGCTTGTATACCATTACATTTTGAGTGAATGCCAATAGTGACCCACCTCATCCACATCCAGCCACTTCTCAATGTCATCCATCACAGACGTCTGACTCACAGGGATCTGGGGGAGTCGGGTGAGAGGTTACTGTCAGGATTTACTGTAAGCCACTGTTTGGTCATCACAAGAACACTGTTACCCCTAGATTTTTCTTGGGCAATCTACAAATAACCACCATTCAAGCATGCAGACCCCTAGTATTCTGATTGAAACAAACCCGAAAACCCATTTATTTTAGACAGGGGGAAACAAGGGATCCACCACCCTCAAGTTATGACAGGGAAAACAGAACAGAGAGTGGGAGTAAATTAGCAAGCCTAGTAATGATTCTGAAGAGTCATGATTTAAAAGGGATACTTCGGGATTTTGGCAATGAGGCCATTTGTCTACTTCACCTGAGTCAGATGAACTTGTGGATACCCTTTTTATGTCTCTGCGAGCCATTTCAAATAAGTTTCTAACTCTAGCACAATCGCTAACTAGCGTTAGCGCAATGACTGGAAGTCTATGGGTATCGATCTACTAGCATGCTAGCAGATACCAATAGACTTCCAGTCATTGCGCAAACACTAGCTAGCATTGGCTCACGAAACTACCTCCAACTTCCTTCATACTGGACACAGAGACATAAAAATGGTATTCACGAGTTCATCTGACTCTGGGGAAATAGATAAATCCCGAAGTATCCCTATCAGCTTCAGAAATGAACACTTATAACACTCAACCCATGAATGCAAAATCTAAGTATTGTTTGACAAGCTAAAAATAACCAGTTCAGGCACACAGGAAAGAAGAGCATGCAACCATCTCAGTACAAAGATGGAGGAAACAATAATTAATTAAAATACACACTAAACATGCTTGAATGCAAAATATCCCAGCATGAGCCCCAAACACAGGCTAGAACACAAACGGAATGGCACTGTGCCAGCCAATCAGACCCACCATTCCCTTTTCCATCATCCAATCAAACTGTGGCGAGGAGCTGAGGGGGGTGGGGTCTGGGCTGTCATCCTTTACACAGATAGACATTTTTATTTACGAACAAACATACCGGTAGACATGCATGCCATAACACAAAACCATTGGGTTATGAACAAGCAGACAGACAACTCTTATAGCACTGACAAAATGGCCAACTTTGCACGTGAAACTGTAGCAGGTTAACAGACAGATTTATTTATTTTTTTCCACATACAGAGGCAGGGCAGACCTACACATTAACTAAGACACAGGGTTATTGTACACATTAGTGACACTTAGTAACACTCCACAGGGCACAAGGACTCTATGGACACAATCAATGCCCTTCCTAACCAGACATCCTTTCAAATCGGTCCTGGGTTAAATCATTCTGGGGTTACTGACCGTTCCAGTGTTCTGTAATCTGGTGTTCTGAGCTTGAGCCAGACTGTCGGCAGCACCTTCATTCCGCTCACTGAAACACAAATTTCACTGCTTAGAAAATGATGCAATTTACAGTGTACGTACAGTAGTAGCCATCTCCACAAGTAACCATTGGCCATAGTATGAACCACTTCTACTGGAAAACCAAATACAGCGGAGGAACGCATTCCTTCAACATTTGTCCTGCAAATGTTTGTACAGTTTTCTCACTAGCCATGTACGCTTGCAGTTCATGTCAGACTCCGTTCATAATCCTTATTGACAGAATGAATGGCACAGATATCTTGAGAGAGATAAGCAGCCACCCTGAGCCAGTCAGGTTCACCTCAATAGGCCTACATTCATTTCCTGTTTAGATTAGAGCACCACCTTAGCTGGAGCAGGACTGTTATAACCTAAACAAGCCACGGAGTGACAAGACTGAACCATAGCACTAGTCTATTTGTTATACAGTACTAAGCCAGGAGAAAGTCTGAGACCTGCTTTTGTAAGCTCCCTCTCACACTCGCTATCAGTCTGAACAATCCGTTCTACGATGAAAGCAAAACCTAGGATTTTGTTGGAGCTGCCTATTACCTCGGTCTCTGTTGTGTCTGTGAGATGCTCCTGTTCTGTGCAAATTCATCGAATTCCCTCATACCTATATGGAAAACAGGGAAAGATAATGAATTGTACTATAGGGACAGTGAGAACCTCTATCAGATGGAGGAACACTGTAGTTACTTACTGAGTCCTGTCATCTGACTAGACACAGTGTCAACTGTTGATCGGCTGAGATGGCAGTGGGTGGGAGCTGTAGCAACAGGCTTGATTGCAGCACTGAGGTCAATAAGGTTGACGTAGGTCGGGCTCTGGGCGATTGAGAAAAATTTTTGAAGAAGTTGAACAGTACATATCACAAATGCATGTTTGGATGAGAAATGAGGGTAAAGGACCACAGATCCTTAAGAAAAACACTTACCTGCTGTGTAGCTCTTTGTCTCTGAAACCTGGAAAGGAAATAATGAAAATCACACTGTTATCATAGCAGGAATTATTGACTGTATCTGATGTTGATCATTTAGCTGGGACAATACCTCTGGTAGCGAGTGAAGGTGGCATTGATTTCATCATTGGCAACCAGCAGCTCCTCGGTCAGCTTCTCCTCACTGAGTCTTGGGACCAGCTCCATTATCTTATCCTGCATGTCCTTACATGCTGCATACAACTCCTACTGACAGAGAGAGAGAGAGCAGGAGATACAGAGAGTCAGCGAAAAGACAGCAATGGACAAAAGAGAGATGGATACAAACAGATGACATGTGTCACAGCCATGGATGGACAGCCATAGAGCGTGCCCAGAGAGTGAACCAACTAACCTGAAGCAGCTCTGTGTCTGAATGCTTGGCTGTTGCTGGATCCAGTTGAGACATCATATCTGACATCACTGTCAGGTTACCTCGAACCACTCCCAGGTCTGTCTTCAACTTTTTAACCTGGAATAGGAGTCAATGGCATCGGCACTCATATGCTAAATTGTGTGGGGTTGGGGTTGGCATAATACTGCAAAGCATAAACTTTTATCATAAACTCTGGATGTGAAACAAGTAACTGTGAAACATCCACAGTGCACAAGGTAATTTGATTTTAAAGTAATGCCCTGGAGTGAATTCAGCCTCCATGCAAAATATTGTTGTGTTACTAAAATAAAAGCCATGCCATTTTAGAGGCCCCTGTATGACATGAGCATTCTAATCACCTGATAAGGTGTGAAGGTGAGGGGTCCCTGCTCGCTCTGTTGGTATGCAGGAAGCTGGGGTGATATGGGTACATGCCTGGGAGATGAGGGTGTAGCAGATACAGTGACAGTAGGCCCGTTATCAGGCATAGTCTGGTGGACAGAGCACAGGGACCAATTGAGTTAGAGAATAGTGTTAGGGAGTAAAAACGGCTTTAGAGAGGTTTAGCAGAAAGTTGTACTCTGTATTTGTCAGTGAGGAAATGCATGCATGCATTTTCACCAGTCATTGTTTGAAGGTATACCCTATTTGGAGTGTGAATGGGGGAGTATCCATCCAGTTCAGTCATGGGGAACTCCAGTCCTTTCCGCCTCAGGTCCTCGTACACAAAAACCACGCCCGTCAGAGCTGGTGAGCTGCGGAATGCGTCTGCCCACGCCTGAACAATAGACAAACACAGATCATAAACAGCACAGCCCGACAATAGCTAGCTGTCAATTCCAACACAGTGTTAGTGAGCTCTGTGACTTACTGAAGGTATGAGTAACAATGCCATCGCTCACCTGTATAAGGCTGAGCACTCTGTCATGCAGGACCAGAGGGGGATTGTTCTTAGGTAAGATGGCCCTGACCAGAACCCCCTCAACAAACTCCCTGGTTGAGACTAACACATGGAACCTGTGGCCACAGTTCTTCACACACGCTTCCAGTACCTGAGAACCAACAGGACATAAGAGAGAGGGCGAGAGAGAAAGTTTAGATTGAGTTTCTTCATAAACTTGTAACACAGGTTACATGTTTATGAAGAAAAGGCAAAAGTATGGTGAATGAGAGAGGCAAATGTTACACTCACAGTCAATGCCAGCATGACCTCTCTGAAGTTCTTGTTTCCCACAATCCTCTTCTTTATTGCTTTGTATGCATCTCTAGGCCTGTAATCGTTGTAGGTAAACAATCAATTTCAAACAACAAGAGCACAATATAGTAAGCTGCCAAAGGAAAAACCAGTCCATTATGTCAACAGAGGATACACACCCCTCCTCTGTCTCGTTGATGATGTCACAGATCTCCATGTTGAGGGCCCAGTCCTCCGACTGCAGACTGGAGCTGGTTGCATATTCTGAGAACAAAAACAATTAAGACATTGCACTTTATTTTGCATTTATTTATCTGGACGACATAATAGTCACTGTGAAACGGTCTCTGCCTCATCATTCTAATACACAACTCTCAATAGTTGTGTATTAGCCTACTTTGCTGATCCCTCTACTCATCCATGTGAGTTAAATCCCTGTTTGTTTGTCAAACTCATTCTTTCTCCGTCTAACTGACTGGTTCATGTGACCAGCATCAGGTGCCTTGGCAGACGTTTATTGAAACAAATTAAATGTTCTGTCTTCATTCCTCTGAAAGGGAGGGGATAGAAACAGGATTTAGCTCAGTTGAGAAAGTAGAACAACCTCTCCTACTTTTACTGTCACATTGTGGTCATATACATTAAAATAGGCAGACAGTATTCCCATCTATAATTATGTCACAGGGAGGAGCTTTCAAGCTTATAAGATAAAATAGTAGGCCACTTGTAGTCTACATAAAAACAAGTTTGCAAGCAGATTAATTATTAGTCAGCAACGTTATTCACTCTGAAACATCTAAAGTATATGTTATTCAATTATTTCTTAATAGGCCCAGTGCAGTCAAAAATGTGATTTTCCTGTGTTTGATATATATTTTCACACTATTAGATGGTAATAATACTGTGAAAATGATGATAATTCGCTTTTAGTGTAAGAGATGTTTGAAAAGTCTACCTGAAATGTTTTGGCCTACCTGGTGATATCACCATGTGGTAAATTAGTTAACAGACCAATAAGAAAGAGTTCCAAACCTCTGCCAATAACAGCTAGTTTTCCTCTCCCACTCACAGTCCTAGCAAAATTATTGCTTGAGAAATTGCTCTTTGCTAAGAAGTTGTTTATTTTTGACCATTTTAATTGAAAACATTCACAGTAAGGTACTTCAATGTTACCCAGAAATGATTTGATATTGCGATAAAACGGCTGCATAGGACCTTTAATAAATCCCCCCCTTAAAATTAGGTCACGAAGGAAGGAAACAACTTTTCACCGCCCCACCCAGAACTTGCCAAACAATTGGTCTATAGAACACCAACAACACCCTAACTGGCCAATGAAATTGAGGATTAAAACACTGTAAACCCGCCTCTAGGGTATTATTGTGCGGTGTAAGTGTCAGTCAAGTAATAGCATAATCTGTTCTTGTACTGTCAATCTTCATCAATTAACTAACTATAAGTAAGCAATTGTCACAGTTTTGTTTCTTATTAAATACATAACCAATAACGCCAACTTCCTTTTGTGGCATTTTATGGAGTCTGTTTTCCAACCATAGCCTACCAATGTCTTGTAGCGAATCATGTCTGATGCAACAATGTAAACTAGCTACAAACCGCTATAAACCTACTTTATTAGTTAAAATGTAACATTACCTATTCGCTGGCCAACCGGTGTAGTAAACGGGTTCCCTGTCAGAAACTCCATCCTTCTTTCTGCCAGTCAAACCTAAATCCAGAACTGCGCGTCCTTCTTTTCCACAGCAGAGAGGAGTTCTCGCAACAAACTGGAGCAGCACAAGTTGAATTAAATTAAGTTACGTCATCTGTTAAAGTGAAAGTTACATTCACTGAACTTTATAGTCTACTAATTGGGAATTTATACATTGCATAAAATGAGACCATATTAATACATTCAGAATGATAGGGTAGCCTACAATAGGGCCACCAGAACATTTGCACAGAGAGGAACAAAAAAACACTATTTGCCTAAAGGCTATATTTTCAATATTGAACAATGATAAACCATCTTCACATTCTACCCCAGCCATCAAAATACGTGGACTATGAAGCTACACTACATGACCAAAAGTATGTGGACACCTGCTCGTTGAACATCTCGTTCCAATATCATGGGCATTAATATGGAGTTGGTCCCCCCTTTGCTGCTATAACAGCCTCCACTCTTCTGGGAAGGCTTTCCTCTAGATGTTGGAACATTGCTGCTGGGACTTGCTTCCATTCAGCCACAAGAGTATTAGTGAGGTCGGGCACTGATGTTGGGCGATTAGGCCTGGCTCACAGTCGGCGTTCCAATTCATTCCAAAGGTGAGGTCAGGGCTCTGTGCAGGCCAGTCAAGTTCTTCCACACCAACCTTGACAAACCATTTCTGTATGGACCTCGCTTTGTGCATGGGGGCATTGTCATGCTGAAACAGGAAAGGGCCTTCCTCAAATTGTTGCCACAAAGTTGGAAGCACAGAATTGTCTAGGATGTCATTGTATCCTGTAGCGTTAAGATATCCCTTCACTGGATCTAAGGGGCATAGCCCGATCCATGAAAAACAGCCCCAGACCATTATTCCTCCTCCACCAAACGTTATAGTTGGCACTATGCATTGGGGCAGGTAACTTTCTCCTGGCATCCGCCAAACCCAGATTCGTCCGTCGGACTGCCAGATGGTGAAGCGTGATTCATCACTCCAGAAAACTCCTGAGTCCAATGGCGGCGAGCTTTACACTACTCCAGCCGACGCTTGGCATTGCGCATGATGATTTTAGGCATGTGTGCTGCTGCTCGGCCATGGAAACCCATTTAATGAAGCTCCTGACGAACAGTTATTGTGCTGACATTGCTTCCGGAGGCAGTTTGGAACTCGGTAGTGAGTGTTGCAACCGAGGACAGACGATTTTTACGCACTACAAGCAGTCCTGTTCGTTGAGTTTGTGTGGCCTACCACTTCGCGGCTGAGCTGTTGTTGCTCCTAGACATTTCCACTTCACAATAACAGCACTTACAGTTGACCGGGGCAGCTCTAGCAGGGCAGAAATTTGACAAACTGACTTGTTGGAAAGGTGGCAATCTATGACGGTGCCACGTTGAAAGTCACTGAGCTCTTCAGTAAGGCCATTCTACTGCCAATGTTTATGTATGGAAATTGCATGGCTGTGTGCTCAATTCTATACACCTGTCAGCAGTGGGTTTGGCTAAAATAGCCGAATCCACTAATTGTGTAATCGTTTTCTTGAGTCATGTAAACTTTTAAGTAACAATATTGTCGGCTCTGTCCTATACAGCAATGTCAACTGATTCAGCTTTCTTCCACAAGGTCGCACTGTTTCATTAAAGATCATGTAAATGTTAGGATTATGGCAGAGATCGTAGATTTACTACAGTCAGTCAGTCACTAGTTCTGTTATGGTATGGTATGGTTTCTATTTCACATAGGCTATTCCACTTCATTTACTGTGCACTAGGAGTCAAATTTGGAGACACCTCTATACAATTATTTTATTTCAGTATTTTTAGATAGTAATGAAAATATAATAATTAAAAAAATATGTGCAACAAAATAACAAATAATATGTACTGTAGATGCTATGACATTGTAATAGCATGTATTTATTGCAAAATTCCTAAAATATTGAATAGTTTGTGCATTTAAAATAAATAACCTGCAAATTACATTCCTTAAATGTTGTTTTCTTCCTCAAATAGGGTGAGATATGCAGGAGAAAAGCCCAATAATTGACTTGTTATGCCGCAAAGTTGCTAGGGGTGACTCAGAATGACTCACGTGAGACGAAAATGAAAACACTTTAGAGGTGTTACTCTCACCGTCTCTGCCTTTACTGTTCTGTACCTCACAGTTATGATGCCATAATATCACTAATAAAAATGTAATAACTTCCTGTGTGTAAGTGATTTGGTTGCAGGTGCTTTGATGTTGCCAGATTGTTTGAGAGATGGTCACTGTCTGTGGTCATCAGATGTGAGTTGCTGTGTTGCACCTGGAATAGTTGTTTTCTTCATTAATGGTCTCATGAGTCTGGGAGTAAAGAGAAAATTGGGGTAACCATCACTGTGCTCTTCTCTGCTGCTGACCTGTCTCACCCAGGGGCTTTCTGACATCACTGGGTTCCACAGCACAGAGACTGAAAAGGCACTGGCCATTCACTGTGACATTTTGCTCCACATATGTGTATTTCAATGGCATTCAATTGTCCATCAAATCCAAGTGTTTTTCAACTGTACCAAAGGAGGTTGGTGGCACCTTAATTGGGGCGGACAGGCTCGTGGTAATGACTGGAGCGGAATGGGTGGAATGGTATCAAATACATTAAACACATGGTTTCCATGTGTTTGATGCCATTCCATTTGCTCTGTCCAGCCATTATTATGAGCCATCCTCCCCTCAGCAGCCTCCACTGAACTGTACCCATGAAATTAACACTAACAAAAACTATCTGGATGATTACAGAGAGAACTAACCATTATGGCCTATGTATATCATAATCATAATGCAGTGGGGAATTCTTATTAGGACATGTTGGTATAAAAATGTTTAGGGAGTGATAAGCCCTTGAATCATGGTGGCCCATGTTATCTTATCTCGAACAATGGGTGTGAGAAATTGTATTTCTTGTAAGGAAGGGTACCAGTGTGTTCCAATGCAAAGTCTTGGTGACCACTGCAGTGAACCAATAGCCAGCCTACATGGACCTGTCCAATCCACAGCTGAAAGACAGTTGCTGGCATAGGGTGATTTCTTCTCTCAGAGGAAGCTCATGGGTTCAATATGGGGACTGCAAAATGCCAGTGGTCAGCCAATACTGAGCCCAGCTCTGAGCCAATAGGAAGAAATGTCACATATATTATGTCGCATCATCGCTGTCAATGTGATAAAGATTAATAGAAAAAAATATAAACAGATTCCATGCAATTTGTAATTTGCAATTTGTAATTTCTCCTATATCCGGTTATTGAGCCAATGGTTTACAATATCTTGCACATCCCATATTGAACTGAGAACTGAGACATAATTGACAGGAACTTGATACATTGAAGATCAGTATTTAGCTGTTGTACACTAGATCATCCAGATGTGAGATTATTTTCTGAATACATTTTGTTATAAATGTAAATACTGTTCCAGTCGATCAAGAAAAGGTTGCAGAAATGCATAGAATGTGATGGAGGAAAGGGTCTCAACTCTCATCAACTCTTCCTCAACCCTGAGTCAGATAATACAATTCCACAGAAGTGTTTTTCTTTTACAGCTCTAACAACCAGTATTGATTCAATCTCTCATTGTCACACTTCAACAGTTTTCTAATCCTCCACTAATGAATTCAATTAGGCCAGTCACAGTCACAGGGCACAGGTCAGTGGAGATACAGTAGAAAGACAGGCATATTAGCGAAACCACATGATTCAAATGCCCTTTATACTGTATATAATTGAGATGCCATTATGAACATACTGTATACTTAGTTTCTTTAATGTCACTAAGCGCACAGTGCTTAAGTTATTAATGAATTCATGTTATAAAGCATATGAATTTGATATGATGTTGACTTAGATTCTAACACCTCTATTGTTAACTTAAACCACCTCACCTCAGCATGCTATCTCTAACACCATGCTTTCAATTATAAAAAATAATAATCTCACAGCCTTTATATCTATATTTATCAATAACAACAACATTACATTGAAAGTTAATATGACATGTTGCTAGGGAACAAAACTGTGAAGAGTGACTGAATCCAGTTGGAGCTGCAAACATGTTATTAAGGCATGCTGGGTTATTCTTCTGGCCCTTTGTGAGAGGCCTGATATATTCCTCCACTCCACCAACAGCTTCCAGTGGGCAGCCTCCTGATCCCTCCCAATGTGCCACCTCTCTCCATATCTGACATGACCACTGAGATCTCTTATTTAGTTTCACTGGTGTAAATGTCAAAATCATTTGTCAAGGGAACAAAATACATACAGCAGGGGAGCATACAGCCCTGACCATGGGGTTGTATTTACAAGGAATTTATTTGTCTGGCGCTGCTTTGAGCTTTTCGATCATAACAACTCACAACAAGAGGGGAACTTCAGCTGGGGAGAGGAGAGCAGGAGAGGAGGACAGGAGAGAAGGGCAGGAGAGGAGGGCAGGAGGGCTGGAGGGCTGGAGAGGAGGGCAGGAGAGAAAGGCAGGAGAGGAAGGCAGGAGAGGAGGGCAGGAGAGGAAGGCAGGAGAGGAAGGCAGGAGAGGAGGGCAGGAGAGGAGGACAGGAGGGCGGGAGAGGAGGGGAGGAGAGGAGGGCAGGAGAGAAGGGCAGGAGAGGAGAGCAGGAGAGGAGGGCAGGAGAGTAGGGCAGGAGGGCAGGAGAGGAGAGCAGGAGAGAAGGGCAGGAGTGAAGGGCAGGAAGAAGAAAGAAGAAAGAGAAAAATGTGTTTGCCAGAAATTGTCCCTAATTGGTGAGCCGTGTTATCTTCTGTGCAGGGATTGTTTAATGTCTCGGCCCACGTCGCATATGAGAACGAGCTTGCTGAGACTCAGCAGCTTCCAATTAGGGTGGGTTGGAAGTAATGTGTCTGAATTCTCTCTGTGCAGCTGCTTGATTATATGTTTTTTTGGCCTGCAAATTAAATGTAGTGAAGTGTCTTCACTGACGCAGAGTCTGGTAATTTGCAACCGGCTGTGCCTCTCTCTCAGCTGTCAGGTAAATGCCACAGAAATGATTGAGTCTTCAAGTATCTTCAATAGACAACATCTTTCAAAACAACAATTACATCT